CACTAATCTTTTGGATCCCCATTAGCAGTCGGTTATGTGCTGTTAGATTAGAGAGTTCCATCAAAGTGAGAAGAAATCGGCGTGAGAAACGATGTCTTTTCGTCATCTCCGCCTATGCCCCGACAGATTGCAGCCCGGATGCAATCAAGGATGAGTTTTACCACCAGTTATCAGTTCTTCTCCAGAAAGTGCGTTCGACAGATATTGTAGTACTAGCCGGAGACTTGAATGCTCAGGTCGGGCGTCTAGGCACAGAAGAGGGTCGTTTAGGTGGCCGATGGGGACTTGTTAGTCGCAGGACAGATAACGGGGACCGTCTACTGCAACTGTGCACAGACTACAACCTGTTTCTGGCTAGCACTAACTTTCGGCACAGTCATCGCCGATGTGCCACCTGGCGTCCTCCCTCTGCATCTCAAGCCTGGACTCAGATTGATCACATCGCGATCAGCTACCGCTGGCATGGTGACAGCCACCAACAGATTGACATTAGCAAGCTGGCTGCAACTTCTGTTGCTAGTAAGTATCGAACCGAGCTAGCCTCTAGGCTAGCTACCACTCCACCGAAAAGTATAGATGAGCATTGGTTGCAATTGCATGACGCCATGAAAATGGCGGGAACAGTCAGTTGTGGGTTTGCGAAACGTCCCGCTTTAAGCACTGGGTTTCTTCTGGTTCCTTACAACTCATTGAAGCCCGTCGGTCTACTCCGGGTGACCGTGAGTTTGACCATAAACGAAGGATGTTACGTAAGGAAATTGGGCAAAGCTTGCGTAAGGACCGAGAAGCCTGGTGGTCGAAGCGTGCTAATGAGCTGGAAGCAGCAGCTGCATCTGGTAACTACCGGAAGCTCTTCCAGCTCATCCGAGCCACTGGCAGCAAGAAGTCTGGTGTGAGTGAAACAATCTGCGAGGATGATGGGATGCCAATCACTAACATCCATCGACGTCTTGGACGATGGGCAGAATTTTTCGAAGGGCAGTTCAACTGGCCTGCTGCTCCGGCAACATCGGTCAGACTGTCCTGCCCTCCATGGCCGGTGACGACTGATCCACCAAATGAGGAGGAAGTCCGCAAGGAACTCCAACTCTTGAAGCGTTACAAATCACCTGGCCCAGATGACTTACCTCCGGCTCTTTTTAAAGATGGTGGTGACTTTTTGACTAAGGAATTGACGACGTTGTTTACAAAGGTTTGGGAACTAGAGAGTGTACCAACGTCATGGAATGAGTCGATAGTTGTCCCTATCTTTAAAAAGGGTTCACGTCGTTCCTGTAACAACTATCGGGGGATAAGTCTACTTCCGATTGCGTCCAAGCTATTGGCTTCCGTCATACTTCGTAGGTTGTTCAAAACCCGAGAAAGATTGACTCGCGAGGAGCAGGCTGGGTTTCGTTCTGGTCGAGGATGTATTGATCATATCTTCACCCTCCGCCAAATGTTAGAACACCGCCATACTTATCAAAGGCCAACAATCGTAGTGTTTCTTGACATCAGGGCTGCCTTCGATTCGTTGGACAGGACTGTTCTCTGGGATTGTCTATTGAAGAAGGGTGTGCCTGAGAAGTTTATTAACATCCTAAAGCCCTATATAAAAACACCTCAGGCAGAGTGAGGGCATACAACCACCTCTCTCCATTGTTCCATTCGAGCAGTGGGGTTAGGCAGGGTTGCCCAATCTCACCATTCCTCTTCAACTTTGCCATCGATGACATTCTGGAAACAGCTCTGATGAATGTAAGTAATGGTGGTGTGGATCTGTTGCCTGGAGAAAGACTTCTCGACCTTGAGTATGCGGACGATATTGTCTTACTGTGCGATAATGCCCAAGGCATGCAATCCGCACTTAATCAGTTGGCAATCAGTGTCCGTAGGTATGGTATGTGCTTTGCACCTTCGAAGTGCAAAGTACTTCTACAAGACTGGCAGGATTCCAATCCTGTACTCACCCTGGATGGTGAGCAGATAGACGTAGTCGAGAAGTTCGTGTATCTGGGTAGCTGCATAAGTGCTGGTGGGGGTGTGAGTGATGAGATCAATGCACGAATAGTGAAAGCCAGAGCGGCTTATGCCAATCTGGGCCACCTTTGGCGCCTTCGTGATGTTAGTCTGGCTGTAAAAGGTCGGATCTACAACGCGTCGGTGAGAGCAGTTTTGCTCTATGCTTGTGAAACCTGGCCTCTCCGAGTTGAGGACGTTAGACGACTCTCTGTGTTCGATCATCGCTGTCTCCGAAGGATTGCTGACATTCAGTGGCAACACCATGTCAGTAATGCAGAGGTTCGGCATCGTGTGTTCGGGCACAGAGATGATAATCAATTGGTGTCACCATCTTGAAACACCGACTTCGGTGGCTTGGACATGTTCTCCGAATGTCGTCCCAGAGAATTCCACGTCGTGCATTATTTGCCGACTCTGGGACTGGTTGGAAGAAGCGGAGAGGTGGTCAGTGCATGACATGGTGTCGTGGTATGAAAGAAAGCTGCAAAGGACTGGCTTGTGTTGGTCCTTCACGACTCCCTGGTTGGGGTCTGAGAGATGGTGCTACACAGTGGCTAGAGACGTTATCAGATATGGCTCAGAATAGAAGCCAGTGGCGATCCTGCTGTAACCTTCTTTTACTTTCTTCATAAAAAGTGGTTGTGTCTCCCTTACCTGAAAGATTTCTTCTGATTGTACCTTTCCGTTCCCTCGTTACTACCACACTACCTTACACCAATCTCTTCGTTATTGTTCTCTTTTTCTTTTGCGCTCCTTAGTTTTTTTTCTATTTCTCTTCGAATTCTCATTGTTTTGTGTGGCGCATATATATTGGCGCTCTCTTGTACCAATATTCATGTGTTCAAAGAAATAAATAAAATAAATAATATTCATCTTCCACTTCATCTGAGCTGCAGTCCATGGGAGTGTAGGCAGAAACGACAAAAAGGCAACGGCATATGTCCCTATCCTTCCGAGTCCTTACGGAGCCGTTTAGCCGAACAGCACATAAACGACTGTTAACGGGGATCCACTCTAACAGTGCTTGTTCCGCCCTCATGCATATTGCTATGCCTACTCCTGCCAGTCCACGAGGACCAGTCATTGTGTCGTCAGATACACGAAGGGTGTATCTCGTTGGCTCTCTGTGTTGCCGAGGTGAGGTCAAGTGAATGACCACACTGGGATCCTGTATGCGTGTTTCAGAGACACAGCATACATCAATGGTACGAGGTCCTACGGTTCTAGCCAAGGAAGCCTGTTGACTGATTTGACATAGGGTGTGTACGTTGAAGGCTTCAATGTGTAGTTTGGGGCGAGGTTTCAGTAGACCTGGGACAGTGTTTTGAGCACTAGAATCGTTGGCTATGGTGACATTTGATAGGGGGGGGGCGAAAGAGGAAGTTTAGAGGTGAAAGTCGATGTAGGAGGAGTAATAGGAAGTGAAGACGGAGGTTGATTATGAATACAGTGGTCTTGAGTGCTGTTAGAGGTATGAGGGCGGTTATCACTCCCCAGTTGCCCACACCGTGGAGGGGTTCTTCTGGAGGTACCTGAAAAGGAAATTGGATTAGAGGTGGTCTTAGTGACCTGAGAGCCTGACCGCAGTGCCTAAGGGACAACTGCTGGAGGTCGGTCACACACGACCTTTTTATGGCTAATTTTTGTGTTAGCTCCGTACTTGTTGAGACCTTACCGCCGGAAACGGATATCCGTGGGATAAGGCGAGGTGTGCATTTTTAGGGTCGACCTGTTCTAACCCCACCCCTCCTTGTGGGAAGGTAGCATCGCTGTCATGCTGGTTGTCTGAAGGAAACACCTTACTGCTGTCACACCTCTGTACAGTTAGCAGTACGACTTCGCCTTCGGACCTTGGGTTTGTTGCTTTTAGTCTTACCGCTCTTCAACCGACCTGTCTGACATGGTAGGACCTTGAGTAACGGTTGTTCCAGCCAGTATAGCTCGGTTGCTTCATCACGATAGGCAAGCCCGACCACCACGTCAAGGTAGCAACAACGGTCGGGTTATCAAACAGTAAGACAATATCGTCCGCATACTCAAGGTCGAGAAGTCTTTCTCCAGGCAACATATCCACACCACCATTACTTGCATTCATCAGAGCTGTTTCCAGAATGTCATGGATGGCAAAGTTGAAGAGGAATGGTGAGATTGGGCAACCCTGCCTAACCCCACTACTCGAATGGAACAATGGAGAGAGGTGGTTGTATGCCCTCACTCTGCCTGAGGTGTTTTTATATAGGGCTTTAGGATGTTAATAAACTTCTCAGGCACACCCTTCTTCAATAGACAATCCCAGAGAACAGTCCTGTTCAACGAATCGAAGGCAGCCCTGATGTCATGAAACACTACGATTGTTGGCCTTTGATAAGTATGACGGTGTTCTAACATTTGGTGGAGGGTGAAAATACGGTCAATACATTCTCGACCGGAACGAAACCCAGCCTGCTCCTCGCGAGTCAATCTTTCTCGGGTTTTGAACAACCTACGAAGTATGACGGAAACCAATAGCTTGGACGCAATCGGAAGTAGACTTATCCCCCGATAGTTGTTACAGGAATGACGTGAACCCTTTTTAAAGATAGGAACAACTATCGGCCACTAGACAAGTAATCCAAATGTTTGTCTTAAATTAAAGTCATTCGAATGAATCATATATAGAAAACATTGTGTCATAACTTATGTTTTGTACAGTAATGCCCCCTATGACCAAATATAAGGATACTGTTTCTAAGGAAAGATCTTAACAAACTCAAATGACGGAGGATGTTGCTATAGTAGTCAACTAATATTTACTGATCCTTATGGTATCCTTACGGTGTTCAAGTAATTTCAAAGATTAAACTACAGTTGGGGTTCCTAAACTTTCACGTTTTATCCTTATGTGAAAACAAGCCTAATTCCTAAATAAATTTTGGTAGGAGTTTCATTTGAACTGCTTGTTGAAAGTTATATATTTTTATTTATAATCCTACAAAATGTTGTGCATTCAAATTTGACAGATATTTACAGGAGTTCACATCACTAGGAACAGCTGGTGGTATATATCAATTCCGTGACCAATTATTATCTGGATCTCCGGATTTGTTGTTCGTGATGAATGGTGATGTATGCTGTGATTTACCTCTTGAGGAAATGCTCGAGTTTCACAAATGTTTGGGTACTGGGGATCGGTTTTTAATTATGGCGACTGATGTTAGTTGATAAACTTTAGTTTATATCATCCTTAAATATTTGGCTAATAATTCTAACTGTATATTTTTTCCTCATAACAGGTTCTATGTTGACTTTTTGACAATTTTTCACTTTTGTTTGTTAAAGCTGTCTTATCAGATTCCTTTGTGGAGCTATATTTTCTTCGTTCCACGCAATCAAACTCATTTGTGATACATATTACTACTTTTCAAACTAGTTGCTTGCGTAAGACTGCAGTGTACGCTTTCAGGTCACTAAGACCAACTCGAACCGAATTTCCTTTTGAGGTACTTCTATAAGAACACTTCCACGGTGTGGACAACTGGGAAGTGATAACCGTCCTCATACTCCTAACAACATTCAAGATCGCCTCTAAAAGCTTTGTGTGTTATTAGCAATTAATTGTGGCATAATGTGACCTCAAGGAACAACTTGCATGGATCCTGGGTAGGTAATATCTACTGCTGAAATTAAAGAGATAAATACCATAACTTCATCATAATAAGACTAATAACTGTTCTATTCAGAGACAGGTTAAATTAACAGACGTCAGCACATAAACAAAATAACAACTTACTTCTAGGGCCTCATATATGATAGCGAATATGAAAGAGCCAAGACACGCTACAATCGCTTCTATAAGTTAAGAGTATGGTTTTAAGAAAAACATCATTTACTTCCAACTGTATCAATAATCCAGGATGAAAAAAGCAATGTATAGTGCATATCAGTATTGAAATACATCTATAAATCATTTTGTATGATGGAAATGAGTCATACTTTCATATCCATGGAATGATCGCTTGACTGCATACCAGCATGGGCCGGTGAATGATGAGAACCGTGGGCATGATCCATTCTTTTGGTTAGGTATGTTTTTAGATGATGAGGATAGAAAACGTTCGTATTGGAAATGCTTTTAAAATAAAAAAGGGAAAATTTGATTGGAAACAACATGGAGTTAATTGATTGTTTTCTGACTCATTGAATGACAAAATCACGCCAACTATGTGGAAGATAACATATAAGGGTATGAGTAAAAACTGACATAGTAGTACATTGAGAGGACAGCTAAAAACGCTTCATGTGATTTATAGTTAACATAGTGACACTCAAGGAAGTTCTCATTGTTAAAAATACAGAAGAAAACAACGGAAACATAACCAGTCTTATATTCTGACTTCTAGGACAACAATTTGGAAGTCATAATGGACTATGAAATGCCAGTTCTATACAGTTATGTTCTACAGAACGATGCTATAAATCACCGATATTTGCACAAATCTCTCTGGATTTTATGACGAATAGATTGCCTTTATCTGTCATGTAATTACTAGGCTTCTGCGACTACTCAAATACACGAACATTTTAATCAATTCTAGAGAATAAGCAAAAGACAATGCAGGAACAGACTTATGCAAATTCTGTTGAAGGAACCTACACTTTGAAGATGCAATTCATATGCCGTAATTAACGACACTAATGACAGACTAAATGTAGTTTGAATTTTTTGTTGAAATGATTACTCATATGAATAAGGTTCTACTTTAAGAATTGTTTTTTTAGCATTCGCTCATCCAGTTATGGTAAAAAAAAGTTTCACTTATAAATAAAAAATTTCCCAAACAGTCGGCTACCAAAATAGGCCATACAAAACGAAACGAAATACTTAAACATTACAATGTCAACAGAGAGGTAGTGTGTAGGATTCTTTAAGATTGGTTGTGCTTTTCGATTCATTCGAATGACTTAAATTCACTTATTAAGCATTTTATATTAGCATAAATGGGGGTCCTATAGTTATTCTACACTGACCTATGTAAGGGCAATATGCACTAATCACTCATTGTTTTTAGAAAGCTACATTACTTTACTATCCTTATTCAATATACGTGTGGTTTGTTAATATTGTTAACTAGTTACACTTTACAGGAGTGATTAATTTAAGAAAATCTGTTGTTCTCGAGAATGATTTCAAACTTCAAGTTGTCTGGGAATCCAAACAAAAATTAAGGTACTAAAAAATCCTGACAAATACAACCGGCTATGGTAATTTGAAGTGACAATCCCTAATCGGTTCACTGAAGTTGCAATGATTTATTCTTTTGAATTTTGATATATTGTTTTCATGGGCATCATAAACTTTCTAAAAATTTCCTAATTTATTGCTTTTAATAAATAGGCGACACGTCAACAGTCTATGAAGTTCGGTTGTATTGTTGAAGACCCCAACACCCATGAAGTGAGCAACTGGTTATTCATTAAAATATTTATGATTGTAACACTTACTTTTCTTTCAGTCTTAATTTCACTTTAGCGTATATGCTTGCAAATAACTGAATTACTCAATTCCACATAGTTGCATTAATGGGTTGCATTTGTGTGTATGTTGTCTAATTTCGTGTAGGTGGGATAATATCTTTCTAAAATATGTGTAATAATGTCCCTCAAGTCAGTCAATCGCAGCGTAGAACCCGGTACCTATGTACATCAGTTTAAGTTGCTATGCCCCATTAGCACAGAGAAATGAAATTGTCAGGGCAAGTCCTAGTATGCTATAGGTAGTAACAGTATCAGCGGTAATAGTAAAGATTAGGCATCGAATATGATTAAAGAAAATATAAATTAGTAAAATCAAAACAAAAACAAGTTGTGGGGAATTCACAAGATTAGGGTTTGGGGTAAGATAAAGATTGAACATGTGTTCCAGCCAATATATCTCATTAGAAGCAAGGTCGACTACTATATCAAAGTAGCAGCTACGGTCGGTAACATCCCTCAAAGGTGTAATGTATGAAGATGTGTTCTACATGAAGCTATTGGTAATGCTTTTAATTCTACATATATACGTACATAAATATATTACTTTATTTATTCATTGTCTTGTTTAATTCTCAAATCGTTAAAGGTTATGCATTATGTCGAGAAGCCAGCAACGTTCGTCAGCACAACAATAAATTGTGGTCTTTACCTATTTACTCCTGGGATATTTAAATTTATTCGTATAGCTTTTCTTGAACATCAGAATCAACTAAAGTAAGTAATTTTCTCGTTAAGTTTTCTAAATATAGGAGATTTAAATCAAGTTCGTAAATAAGCTTATTTAAATGACAATGATGAGAAAGTACTCAAAAATTCAGATGGATAATTAAAATTTTTCGTTAGGTTCTCCTAAAGCACTCTCAATTTATGCATGTTATCAGTCTGTAAAGTTACTCACTGTTAGCTTAAGCTTTTACTAAGATATTCATACTTTGTGTATGGTACTTTTGTTATGTCAGGAATTAGTAGTTAGAGAATATGGTCGACTTACATCTGAATCAGACAGATAGATTAAGGCCTTACCATGTACTAAATTTTTCATACCACCTCGTTTTACTCTTTTTTTTACATATCTCGTACTTGTTTGTTTTGATATTTTACCATTCCTATTGCTATTTACTAGGTGCACCTTTGAGAAGTTCAACAATTAAAGACGATACAATTGTCTTTGATTGTAGCTAGTATCTTAAAATAGTGGTCTTACTTAGCTATCGTAATGATTAAATCAAGCTATGTTGATTAAAACACTTGTAATTTTTTTAATAAACGGAATACACCCATTATGACATTAAATAAGAAAGAAAGATTAGTTCAGCGAAGAGAACTCTTCGCTGAACTAATCTTTCTTTCTTATTTAAAACACTTGTGTCTTGAAGTTCTAGACTATGAGATTTGTCATTTCGATAGTAGTAAGAATGAAGGCAGCAAGTATAATGTCTGAGGAGTTATTGGGCCTATTAACTGCCGAGTAATCACATTAGTTTAATTTGCTTAATCTGGTTGGTGTTTTTTAGCAAGATTTTTTTTTACGGGATGGGGTTGCCGACCTCCGGGAAGCATCATCGATGAACAAGGAGGATCGGATGCAGACGTAAAGGCGAGGATTGACAAAGCAAGGGCCGCATCCCTACAATTCAAGAACATATCGAACTCAAAACAACTATCAACCAATATCAAAGTCACAATCTTCAATACGAACGTCAAGACAGTTCTACTGTATGGAGCTGAAACTTGGAGAACTACTACAACCATCATCAAGAAGGTACAAGTATTTATAAATAGTTGTCTTCGCAAGATACTCAACATCCATTGGCCAGATACCATCAGCAAAAGCCTTCTGTGGGAGGAGACAAACCAGTTTCCAGCTGAAGAGGAAATGAAAAAGGTGCTGGAAGTGGATAGGGCACACATTACGAAAACCATCAAACTGCATCAGGATACAAGCCCTAACTTGGAATCCTAAAGGAAAACGGAAATAAGGAAGATCAAGGCACAAATTGTGTCGGGAATTAGAAGCAGATATGAAAAGGATGAATAGCAACTGGAAAGGGTTGACCAGGATAGAGTTGGATGGAGAATACTGGTGGGGAGTTTATTCTCCTCTACGTTTTTTCTCGTCTATAGACCCACAACATGCTTCGACTCTCAACGATTAACATTCAGCAGTTACGAGACAATCTTGACTTCTATTGTTCCACAACGCTGTCCCTCTTCTAGCTCAGTATTTAGATGAAAGCAGGAGAAAACAGCACCAGGCGAGCTTTTATTAATGGATTTGAAGCGCCCGTAGGTTTATATTACATTAATTATCAGGCCCAATTACACCGCAAATTTGAGATCGTAGTTTATGCAGAAGTCAGGTTGATGTAGTAGAAAGATGGAACAACGTGTGAATAATTAAGTCAGAGTAATTAAATATTGGTAAAACGTATGATAATATCTATGAATTCTAGTGAAAGCTTGCAGTATGGTGAACATAAAATTGTGATGATCCAATCATTTATTAATTATGCAATAAAGTTTTACCTATTAATCCTCCGTGAAATCATTTCAAAATATACGACTTCCCCAATGTGTTCTCCATTACGAACAGTTTAAGCTCATCAAAAGATTATTATGACTTTCTGTTTCTCCACAGCTAAATTCACGAGTCGACTCGTAAACATTATGAATCACATTATAGAGTGGTGATAGTTGTCTTAATAATAATATATTGTGAAAATAGCCATTACAGAATTCATGCCTGTTTACGGGCATGATCAGCTTGATATAAATAGTAACATTGAATGTAAAGAACAAACATGTGATATCAGATTGTTTTAAGTTTACTAGTTCAAAAATTGTTTAGGTAGTACATTTATGACATGTATTACAGCAATGAAATGCATTAGCTGGGGACTTTTAATTCTTCTTAAATGGGCACACTGTTGACGTATGAACAGTGCATTTAAGGTTACTTACTGTGCCATAACGAATTTATTATAACCATCTGTAATTAAAGAAAATAAAACAGATCCAGAGAGCACGTAACAAAAAGGGCAATTTTTTAAAGATATTATTCAAATTATTTAGTGTTGCCAGTGCCGGTGTTAATGTAAACAGCAGGTAGGTGGTTTTACTTAGTGGATTCAATAGTAAGAATGGCTAAATATTTACTCTTACAGGTGCTAGAACATTTAATGCATTTTCAGAGGAGCAGTAGGCATCATTTTAGCGTATAAAGTATGGAAGTGACTATCTTACAGATAGATTGTGCTAGATTATTCCAGTGTCTGGAAAATTTACTGGTAAAGTAATTCATATAGAGACATTTTAGAATGCGTTTGTTTCAATAATGACAAGGAGTTACGGAATTCATAATTAGGAGCTTCTACATATTGAATTCCTTAACTGTATGTAAAGGCTATTTTATTAAGTATTTTGAAAAGATTAAATTTAGTCTGAGTCTCCTCTCTCATAAAGGGTCGAGTCCAAGTTTATTACATCTGGACTTATAATTTAAGACACAACCACTTCCAAGAATCCGAAGTGTAAATCGTCTCTATACGGATTCCAACCTTAATTTATCCTTTATGCGCACACTACTAAGAACAAACATTTAGTATTCTAGGAGTGGTCGAACACATACTTGGTACATCAAAATATGCGAGCATTGGGTATAGGTGCCAATCTCCTTATTTTGGGAAGAATGGTACAAAAACTGGGAGATTGAAGTAACAACAGAGTTATTATTATCCGAAGGTTTGGGGCTTTTTCGGGCTTGTTTTTTGGTTGTCGACACATTTTGATATAATTGTTGATCCTTATGATATATATGCGTTATATAGTAGGATTCAATAATATCTAGATACTTTCTATTAGGTGCCGTTTTATTGTAACGCATAGTTCAAAACTACTGCGAATACTATGATTCGAAGTAGTTATAAAGGATGAGTACTGTTTTATGTTTATTTAATATAATATCCATTCTATTATCATCACAAAATGTATTTAAGTATGGAGCAATTGCTGTATTATTTTTTAATGAAAAATCGAAATTGTCCAGGTGTCTAAGTTTATTGTTTAGTTTCTCGAAAATCACAAAAGTGACAGTTTATCATTTCTAAATGTTCACTTGTTTATACCATTTCTAACCTTCGTTATTATATATACAATATAACACGTATTTGACTGTACATGGTTGATTATTATTGTTCTGTTGTTCTTATTGTCCTGTAACCTTTAATAAACATGTCTTGTGTACTGGATTTTTTATTGATGAAAAGCTATACTTTGATTTGGTCAGTCTTTTTTTCTGTTTCATATCCAATTCTAGTTATGATTTAAGACCTTCATGCAAAGAAACTATTCATTTAGAACGAGAAATATGTCAACCGTTAGCTGGAAGTGGGACTTTATTTGTTTATCATACCAATCGGTTTTGGAGTCAAATCAAATTTGCTGGGTAACAAAATTTAAGAAGTTATCTGTTTATTTTCTCTATTTTTGTGAAAAACACATCAAAAGACTAGTTTTTCTTAGATGTGGTAATCTTTTATAACTCGTTATTAATTGTATTTGTTGGTGTATAATGTTTTGTATAAAAGTACCATTATTATCATTTGCATAAGATGGGTTTTACATGTTTGTGGTTAATTTTAGTTACTTCCAGCTTTAATTATATATTTCAACACACTTTTCGATGTAGTTTGATCAGCTGTGAGTGCTAGACAAATATGACATTAACCATTACTCAGTGATCAATCAATGTACATATCTCAGTCATACAGGAGGTCAGTCAAAACGCTCAGTCGTAGCGTTTTAGGCTGTGAAACTGAATGACACGTGTCTGAATCCACCAGGGGAAATCAACCTCTTAAAAATTGCAGGTATGCCTTATTGACGAGTGCCAGCTAGCGCGTAATTTAGGTCGGAGGTTTCTTGTTGACCACATTCAACCACCCAATGTATATGGAAAAAGGAATTCAACATGACTCACTTAACTGACATGCTAAACCAGTAAACTATATGGTTGTAAAATTTTTAGTTGAAGTTTAAAGTTTGATATGTCGTTAAGATACTTGGGAGAAGCTTCATTATGGTTAGTGTAGATCACAATGCTTTTCACCTGCTTAACACATAATGTGGTACCTTAATGATTTATCACTGAGCCAAATTTTTGTATTGCATTCAGATTTGAGTGAGATATTTTTTATTCTGATCAAAACTCCTCCCTTAATATGCATACACGTTGACTGTTTCAGAAAACTGAATTTATTGTATTTTCTTATTGTCACCAACAGAACTAACTTTCCGCTAGAATATCAGTAATATAAAAAGCAATCAAACGGCGTATTTTTAGGAGGCACAGTGAAACTGATACAACACACAACACTTATATCTCCTCTTATCTGACAACCTTAGAAGTATTTTGTTTGTTTGGAATATACATTCGATTTAGTCGTGTAATCATCCACTAGTGTTAAGAACTGAAATTCTAGGTTCCTTATGCCCCTTGTTCAGTTGAAGAATAACACATCACTTACCGTTACTCAGTGTTTATGTAATGGAAAATATCACAAACAAATCCAATAGGTTTCAGAAACTGATGTTGAGTTGGTGATAATTATGGTAGTAATTATGCACATGAAGCATTTTATTTCGACTGTTGTATTCTCTATTATAGAATATCACTACTCACATCAACATGTTGTGCAGTTGATCTTTTACAGACTGACATCATAATAATTCCTCTGACTAAGCAAATTAACATATCTCCTACGAAACTAAATGATGCAAAGTTTTATCTTAGTACTCTCTGATTTTTATATACATATGGCCTAGATGGGTTAACTTTTTCAATTCATGATAATCCTACTTCTGTGTTATCGACGGTTTATGAACAAGAAGTCTGATTACACTTTCCTTGTCTAGAAACAAGGCATTTTTCTAAAAGAGAAACACACAATTCGATGCAAGTGAGAAAAAACATAAATTTATTTAATCACCAAAAAAGACAGAGAAAATACACTAGTTTTTTCGTATCATTTCACTGATAACTAGTTAGATGTCGACTAAACGTGGACTGAACTGAACTCCGATTAATCATTTAATGTCAGGTCAAAATATCATAGATACCCAGTAGTAATTACAGAGTCACATAATTAACCTCTTTTCTGTAGTTAAATATCGTTACTATATTGTTTTGATTGATTTAATTGCGTAATTTTGTAATTTGTGGATATTCCATAGACAAATTGAATCTATGAGCCTATGTTAACAATACGTTTTCCACCAAACAGGGATGAGAAGCTGTCGTAATCCAAATACACTTATTTCAACTTGTTATTCAGTTCTATATTCCAATTGAAATTTAAGTCCAAGTAGTCTGTGTCAGGGCGCATCAATTTCATATATTTAATTTTGCAGTTTAGTCACATTAACTAAAGATGAGTGTTTGTTGCTTTATACGTGAAGCTCAGTTGCACCACATAACAGTAATCTCTAAATAAATTTACAGAGATTTATTTGTTTGGTAAATGTCTTTAATCGTTATACAAATTTCAACTAATATATAAATGTAAATTTGGATGTGACCGTTGTTTCCCAGTTATTACTTTTTAATATTGCCTATCTTCAATCTTACTATCTGGTATTATATTTTTTAAGTTCAGAAATTTTGTCATATATCTTGATAACTGATTATCTCATTTTATTTTTGTTCAGTGCTGTAATCTACGCTAATCGTCATATATTGTCACTTTATGAAAGAACCCATCCTCATAGACTTGCTAAAATGTCAATACCAAGTTCATCAAACCTACAAATGTTAGATGATCCCATTAATTCATCATTAGTTGTGATGAATGGCAATTGCCAACCATCGATTTGTGGACCGATCATAATTGGTCATGTATTCATACATCCAACTGCTTCAATCGACCGAACAGCTGTTGTAAGTAGACATGTGATACGAAAAGTGATTTATTCTTATCATAATATTAGAATGATATTAAGCAGTGAATCAAAAGTCATACTGTGTTTATTTGAATATAAAAGAATCTTTTGAACTTTATACTATTGAAAATATTTTCACCAGCATACATGCATAGAAATAAAACAGTTGTAGCATAACGATTTCATTATTGAAGTTAATAGAAATATCCGATTAGTCATGGACGATAATAAAGACTAGTACGAGTACCAGTTCAAGTTGTCATATCACGATTCATTACGAAAGAAATAGACCAGATAAAAGGTAGATGATAGGAACAATAATATCTATGTGAGTAAAAACCTAAGCATAAGGAATCTTTTTTCAAAAGTAATGAATCGGAATAAAGGATATAAAGTGTAATGTTATACTAAGCTAATGCTTTAGAGCAAGATAAAAGATGAATGTATCGACATCATTGGAAGTGATTTCGAGCAAGATCACTACATTTTTAATCATTGGTTTTAGATTTTAAGCAGAAAGTCTGCATCTCTCCATATGACTTTCTCTGCTGAAGAATCCCATACTAGGACGAAATGGCTGTCCAGTGCTTCCAGGTTTTCAACGAGGGTCTAACACTGTTTGATTCATGATCTCTATCAAAAACTCAACAAGTTTCACCATCCTATACTGATGTGGTTCTATTTATTCACTTCCATCAAAATAATTTCAAAGTAGTTTTGTGACTTTAAGAGTCTTCAAACTTTTTTGTGTTTTGCTAGGCGTTTTCAATGATTGAAGGGAATCCCTATGGTATTTGTTTACCTTATATTCGTTCAGTTTCAAACTATAAAATTTCTAATTATTTTAAACGCTTATAAATTTTAACAAATAAAAAAGCTAATTATTTAAAGGAAACTGAAAACAGATACATCTATGACATAGTAATGGTATCTGGTCCACATAATTATCTAACTGCTTATTCTTAGTCGATACTATTTATTTTGCTATTTTATTACTGACCCACATGCTTCATTCGAGAAGCATACGATCCCGTATATATAGCGATAGTGTTATTTTTTTATCTGACTGCCCTGTCGCTTATAACCTTTACATCAAAGTAAGGGAGTTAATGTTTTCGTTTCAAATCATGTCCAAAGATCATTTTCAGGTTTTAGTAGTTTAAACGGGAAATACTTGTTTGCAAACCGTTTAGAAAATAGCGTAAGCGTACTAATGTATCATATAATTCTCAACATACTTATATTAAAAATTTCATAAGATTAATTTTTAAGTTCTGAGTTAATTGATGTATTTTCTTTTTGTTAAACTTTAATCTGCTAAACGTTTAACTGTAGTTCTCTTTATGATTATGGTTTTTTTTCTATCGATTTTCAGATAGGACCCAACGTAAGTATAGGTGAACGAGCTGTAATACAAGCAGGAGTACGTCTACGAGAATGCATTGTACTCAGGGATGTTGAGATTCGTGCACACGCTTGTTGCCTGAATGCAGTAATTGGATGGAATACAGTTATTGGGGAATGGGCTCGTGTCGAAGGTACACCCAATGATCCTAATCCTAATAAGCAATTTACCAAACTTGAAGTTTTACCTGTTTTCAATGTTAAAGGTCAACTAAATCCATCCATTACTGTGATTGGTAAGTCTAATCTACTGCTTATTATTACAATCGATGGATAATGAATATTTATGATCTGTCATAACAGATAATATAAAAAGTAATATAATAATAAGTAGAGAAGATTAAATATTATCTAATTTAGATCAATATCTATGTGTGCGAAATGAGTATATGTGAATGATAATCATTGTGTGTATTATTTATACCAATTTGACCGAGTCTAGAGATTGACAGGGATTCTGAAGTTACTATCAAGTGTGGTTTTCACATTGCGTAGTTTATTATTATCTCTGTTTCCCCTTACCCTTTAATTTGTCTAGTTGCATAAATAGTCTTAACAAGTATATGTGTGATCAGATTGCTCGAAATGCGCAAATATGTTACATATTTCTGATGACCTTTGTTTTCTCATCGCATTATCCAAATTTATCAAAGCGACTAGTTGTTTTAAATTCTAAAGTTATTTTTCGAACATATATGTATGTATGCATGCTGCGAAACTATCCGAAGATACTAAGATTCGCCTCTGACCTGAAGGCCATTGCAATTGACAGTCTCAAATGCATTGGTTACACGGCTATTAAATGCTTCCCGAGTTTCCTTTCAGTACACTCTTCGTCTCAGGATATTGTTGGCCGAAATTTACAACATTTAGTTTTACTGTCAGCCAAACCAATACATTAATCTCATCTCATTTCTAAACCGGTCATCTTTCAGTAGTACTTTGAATTTTGTCATAATGCTGTGATCGTTCACAGGGTTTTAAATGGAGCATCCTACTTCATAATTGAAAAATTCAAATGGACATATATCAAGAAAAACTATTACATCTGATGAAATATATCACGTCACCCAGCTTACTTATAACAGAATTAACGTTCCTCCTCGCATTTACTGTACGTACCAACCACTATCCACCTACATCGTTTTTGGAGACTAAGGGGCTATCGAAAATCGATTCAAATATGCATTATGCAATCGTATAGGTGAAGTTATTTTTGGTTCTGTTGACTGTTCGGCGTGTTGGTTAGAAGCCGGGTGTATTTTATAACAATATGTTTATTCCAAATAAGTATTTAGCGCCTTTTTAAAGTCCTGTTGAAAGAGGATATGTGCTGAATGGTCAAATACTAAGTTACTATACTTAATAACTAATACAAATAAGCTCTGCCACAGCTTGGAGCTGAAAAATATGTTTGCTACACAAATAAAGAAATAATATTGAGAATAATTAAATGAAGGGAGGGGAGTATAATGGAAAATTAGTGAACAAGAATAGTGTGTAACACGGAGAAACATACCTGTTAAAATAAACAAAGAATGGTTCCTGTCAGATAGGAGAGGGAGGTTTAAATGGTACACTTAGATTCATGAATCCGTATGCAGTGACAGCATTCATGAAGTCACCATCCAGTCATCTGAAACCGTTTAAGAAAAAAAACTTGACAGAGACGAGCTTTTGATGTGCTGAAGTATAAAGGTTAACACAGAATGGAAGTTTAGCAAAACAGAAAAATGAAGCAACATAAAACAAATACATTTAAATTAAGTAGACAGCCTGGAGTCCCCCCGAGGGCTACTGCCGGTCCAAAGCCCGGACAAAGGAGGAGGGTTGGGTATGGGGATAGCGACTCCACTCCGTAGAAAACTAACTCGCTAAAAAACGCTAACCAGAAAAAATTATTCAAACCTTTCAAACTCTGTCCTGGGAGTCAGAAGGTCTTCATTTAGAAGAGTTATGACGCCTCATGATGAAAGCCGAGTTCCTTCGGAAGTCACGAGGCCGATGCCCCTTCTGACAACCAGAGCAACCATTTATTTAGGTATATGGAATGCTCGTACAATGTGGGAGACCTGGAGAGTCTTCCAAATTTCTTCAGAAATGAGAAGCTACAACCTAGAGGTGCTTGGGATCAGTGAAATACATTGGACGCAAGTTGGACAACAACGACTAGCTTCAGGGGAGCTTCTGTTATACTCCAGCCATGATGAGAAAATGCCCCACATACACAAGGAGTTGCATTGATGTTGTCCAAACAAGCAAAAAATGCACTTATAGGATGAGAATCTCATGGAACAAGGATCATCAAAGCCTCCTTCAAAACAAAGAAAGAGTGCATTTCAATGAATGTCATCCAATGCTATGCGCCTACCAACGACTACAATGAAGACGCTAAAGATCAATTCTACGATAAATTGGAGTCAATCGTCGAGAAGTGCCCAACAAAGGACCTGACTATTCTGATGGGAGATTTCAACGCCAAGGTTGGAATGGACAACACCGGATATGAAGACATCATGGGACGACACGGACTGGGAGAAAGGAACGAAAATGGTGAGAGATTTGCAAACTTATGTGCCTTCAATAAACTGGTCATAGGCGGCACTATATTCCCACATAAACGCATACACAAAACCACATGGACTTCACCGGATCACACTACGCAAAACCAAATCGACCATATCTGCATCAACAAAAAGTCCAGGAGGACGGTGGAGGACGTGAGAACCAAGAGAGGAGCTGATATAGCATCAGATCATCACTTGCTGGTCGTCAAGATGAAATTGAAACTCAAGATGCACTGGACAACGGGGCGAACAATATAACAAAAGTTCAATACAGCTTTTCTTCGGGATACTGACAAACTCAACAAATTCAAGATAGCCCTCAGCAATAAGTTCCAGGCTTTTCATGATCTACTCAATGGAGAAGGAACTACTATGGAGAGCAACTGGAAGGGGATAAAAGAGGCGATCACTTCAACATGTCATGAGGTTCTGGGCCACAAGGAGCACCATCACAAGGAATGGATCACTGTTGATACACTGGACAAGATTCAAGAAAGGGGGATCAAGAAGTCAGCAATCAATACCAACCGAACAAGAGCAGGAAAAGCCAAGGCACAAGCTGAATACACAGAAGTAAACAAGCAAATGAAGAGGAGCATCAGAACTGACAAACGTAAATATGTGGAAGATTTAGCAATGACGGCAGAAAAGGCTGCAAGAGAAGGAAACATGAGACAACTGTATGACATAACAAAGAGACTCTCTGGAGATCACCGTAAACCAGAACGACCAGTGAAAAGCAAGGAAGGCAAGGTAATCACCAACATTGAAGAACAACGAAACAGGTGGGTAGAACACATCAAAGAACTCTTGAATCGACCAGCCCCACTGAACCCACCCAATATCGAAGCAGCACCCACGGACCTCCCAATCGATGTTGGCCCACCAACAATTGAAGAAATCAGCATGGCCATCAGAGAAATCAAGAGTGGCAAAGCAGCAGGACCAGACAACATTCCAGCAGAGGCACTGAAAGCAGACGTAGCAGTAACTGCAAGGATACTCCACATTCTCTTCAATAAGATTTGGGATGAGGAACAAGTACCAAAAGACTGGAAAGAAGGACTTCTGATCAAAATACCGAAAAAAGGCGATCTCAGCAAGTGTGATAACTACAGGGGCATCACTCTTCTCTCAATACCGGAAAAAGTCTTCAACAGGGTATTGTTAAACAGGATGAAGGACTGCGTAGACGCCCAACTTCAAGACCAACAGGCAGGATTCCGTAAGGATAGATCGTGTACAGACCAAATCGCAACTCTACGGATCATTGTGGAACAATCAATTGAATGGAATTCATCACTCTACATCAACTTCATTGACTACGAAAAGGCATTTGATAGCGTGGACAGAACAACACTATGGAAGCTTCTTCGACACTACGGCGTACCTCAGAAGATAGTCAATATCATACGGAATTCCTATGATGGATTAAACTGCAAAATCGTGCATGGAGGACAGTTGACAAACTCCCTCGAAGTAAAGACCGGTGTCAGGCAAGGTTGCTTACTGTCACCCTTTCTCTTTTTCCTGGTGATCAACTGGTAAGTACGGGATACAGTGGACATCTAGGATGCAGTTGGACGATCTAGACTTCGCAGATGATCTGGTTTTTCTATTGCACACGCAACAACAAATGCAGGAGATGACCAGTTTAGCATCAGTGTCAGCAGCAGTAGGTCTCAATATACACAAAGGAAAAAACAAGATTCTCCGGTACAACACAGCATGCACCAATCCCATTACACTTGACGGAGAAGATTTGGATGATGTAAAAACCTTTACATATTTGGGCAGCATTATTGATGAACAGGGTGGATCTGATGCGGATGTGAAAGAGCGGATTGGTAAAGCAAGAGCAGCATATTTACAACTGAGGAACATATAGAACTCAAAACAACTGCCAACCAACACCAAGGTTAGGATTTTCAATACAAATGTCAAGACAGTTCTATTGTATGCGGTGGAAACCTGGAGAACTACGAAAGCCATCATCCAGAAGATACAGGTGTTTATTAACAGTTGTCTACGCAAAATACTTCGGATCCGTTGGCCGGACACTATTAGCAACAACCTACTGTGTGAGAGAACAAACCAGATCCCAGTGGAGGAAGAAATCAGGAAGAAGCGCTGGAAATGGATAGGACACACATTGAGGAAAGCACCCGACTGCGTCACAAGACAAGTCCTCACTTGGAATCCTCAGGGCCAAAGGAAAAAAGGAAGAACAAGGAACACATTACGCCGGGAAATGGAGATAGGCATGAGGAAAATGAACAAGAATTGGATGGAACTAGAAAAGAAGGTCCATGACAGACTGAGTTGGAGAGTGCTGCTCGGCGGCTTATGCTCCATTAGGAGCAACAGGCGTAAGTAAGTAAGACAGCAAATATCGGGTTAGCTAGTAATAAAGGAAAGCAAATCGATCATTTTTCTGTAATTATCGATTATCATATTTGTGAGTAGAATGAAATGCTACCTGATAGCCACAGGCGAAAAAATCAGTTTTCCTAGGGGGTCACAGTGCGTACAACACGATGGAAGCCAGTGACTAAGTTTGGTTGCAATAGCTGTCGTCTCTCCAGTTTCTTGTTGGTCATTCTACACTAGTTGAAAATCAGGATTTTCCAGCTCCTTAAGGCGAACGCTTTACATCTACCAACTCGGTTTAAGGCCGTACGTTCACTTTCTACTCTATTATTTTCATCAAATACATCTTCAGCACGTGAAGATAAACCATATGACCACGGGTTTTATGAGAGCATTTTAAGAATGAGAGAGAACTTTTTACACTTTCGGCTGTACCAAAACACTTGAGGTCAGATGATTACGTTCAAAGATCCAATTACTAGAATATCTATTAACAGAGATAATCATTTCGAATCATAATGTAATTTCTGTTTAATAATGTAGGTGTTTTTTTATTCCTTTAAAATTTACATTTCAAAGCTGTATTCAATCCTTAAATAAACATTTCATTTCATAAAGTTGTAAGAACTAAAAGTCAGTCAGTCTCATGGCTTATAGAATCGGATTACTGTTCATATCATATATATGTTGTTTTAAATTGATATCTATAACTTTTTTTCCCTGATTTACTTTTGTCTTAGGCTCCAATGTGGAAATTCCTCCTGAAGTTATTGTTCTGAACTGTATAGTTCTACCACATAAAGAATTATCACAAAGCGCTAGAAATCAAATTATTTTATGATATACATGTAATCAATTTATATCAGTACACAAATGTATGTGTGTACGGAAGACAATATTGTGTATACAATTAAAGCAACTACCAACTAATTTATCTCAACTGTTTATTTTCATATGTATCTATTAGGCGGTTTGGTTAATGGTTAAAAAAAAATTAGGAAAGTATGTACATTTTTACTTGGTACTTATTTCTCGAAGAAAAAAAAACTATTTACTTTATTCTTTCTTATATACGTGACAAGCATGATAATATTTTCCTTTGGTTATTTCATTATGATTTATTTATCGTTTTGATCTGTTTTCTTTTTTTTTGTTCAAAAAACCCAACTGTAATTTGATTTTAAACTTGTTTATTGCTTTTTTTTTGTTTTTTTTTAAAAAATTTTTTGTATAATTGGACTGATCTTCTTTGTATCCATTGGTAATGTACGATAGTAGTTTTAAATAGGAATGACCGTTTCTATCCTTTCTATATATTATTTTATAATATCGTTTTTCAGTTTAATACTAATTCTCTTATATTAATTTATACGAAAGACAATAATTCATCATTATTTATTATTATCATTGATTCTATTCATTGGTTTGCTATTTTAGTTCAATAGTTTTTTTCTCTCTCTCTTTGTGTTTCTTATTATTCTAGTATGATTACGGAGCACTAATAAACATGTTTGTTTAACCCTTAAATATTGAATTAATCCATTAAAATTGATGAAATAAATTTGTTTTGTTTTTTTCTAAAGAAATTTATATAGTTCAAAAAATCAATTTAATCTGTAAAGCTGGTTGATGAAATCTAGAATGAGTGCAACATAAAATCACGGTTCACCAAGTTAATAGAGTAGTTAAATTATTAATGATTTTATCATGATTAGAAAATATGTGGTAATTATCATTGGAATTGATTTTTAATTGTTAAACTATATGTAATTAATTACTATAGATGTAGAAAGTGTACCTTAAAAATTCTTTAAATAAAAAGTATTAATAATTAGTAACCTGTAAAACGAAAGTCAATTATAACTAAGTGAGTTCACGAGATTATTTGCTGTATGCGGTTTTATTGTACAATCATAAGCATCAAAATCAGACTTAACTCGAGTAAAATGTATTTTAACGATAATTTGATGTGATAAATAAGAAGATGAACATGTAGTATGGACATAATTTGAAGTAAGCAATCATATCGATTCATAGAAAGTCAGTCCAAAAATTTTGATGGTTAAAAAAATTAATGATCGGAATAAGGAGAACTAGTTCAGCTCTGTTTCAATTAATCATAATCCAGTTACAAACTGAATTTTCAGTCAATTTTAATTATAATGTGAGGAAACTAATAAATCTTACGCAGGAATTAAAACTTAGAATCATACGAGCCGCAACTAAATCATAAGAATGAAAATGGCTTGGTTGTAAACGAGAGAATCAGAATCATCTGCGGATATTAGCTCCTAAAAGCCCTATACAAAAACACCTCAGGCAGAGTGAGGGCATACAACCACCTCTCTCCATTGTTCCATTCGAGTAGTGGGGTTAGGCAGGGTTGCCCAATCTCACCATTCCTCTTCAACTTTGCCATCCATGACATTCTGGAAACAGCTCTGATGAATGTAAGTAATGGTGGTGTGGATCTGTTGCCTGGAGAAAGACTTCTCGACCTTGAGTATGCGGACGATATTGTCTTACTGTGCGATAATGCCCAAGGCATGCAATCCGCACTTAATAACTTGGCAATCAACGTCCGTAGGTATGGTATGTGCTTTGCACCTTCGAAGTGCAAAGTACTCCTATAAGACTGGCAGGATTCCAATCCTGTACTCACCCTGAATGGTGGGCAGATAGACGTAGTCGAGAAGTTCGTGTATCTGGATAGCTGCATAAGTGCTGGTGAGGGTGTGAGTGATGAGATCAATGCACGAATAGTGAAAGCCAAAGAGGCTTATGCCAATCTGGGTCATCTTTGGCGCCTTCGTGATGTCAGTCTGGCTGTATAAGGTCGAATCTACAACGCGTCGGTGAGAGCAGTTTTGCTCTATGCTTGTGAAACCTGGTCTCTCCGAGTTGAGGACGTTAGACGACTCTCTGTGTTCGATCATCGCTGTCTCCGAAGGATTGCTGACATTCAGTGGCAACACCATGTCAGTAATGCAGAGGTTCGGCATCGTGTGTTCGGGCACAGAGATGATAATTCAATTGGTGTCACCATCTTGAAACACCGACTTCGGTGGCTTGGACATGTTCTCCGAATGTCGTCCCAGAGAATTCCACGTCGTGCATTATTTGCCGACTCTCGGACTGGTTGGAAGAAGCGGAGAGGTGGTCAGTGTATGACATGGTGTCGTGGTATGAAAGAAAGCTGCATAGGACTGGCTTCTGTCGGTCCTTCACGACTCCCTGGTTGGGGTCTGAGAGATGGTGCTACACAGTGGCTAGAGACGTTATCAAATATGGCTCAGAATAGAAGCCAGTGGCGATCATGCTGTAACCTTCTTTTACTTTCTTCATAAAACGTGGTTGTGTCTCCCTTACCTGAAAGATTTCTTCTGATTGTACCTTTCCGTTCCCTCGTTACTACCACACTACCTTACACCAATCTCTTCGTTATTGTTCTCTCTTTTTTTTGTTGCGCTCCTTAGCTTTTTTTTTCTTTCTTTGTATTCCTCTCGAATTTTCATTGTTTTGTGTAGCGCATATATATTGGCGCTCTCTTATTAGCTGTGAACAGTTGGTCACCATCTATGCTTGTAAACAATATACATGTAATTTTCTAGTATCCTGTGATCGGTACCTAAAATCTCTATAGGACGTTGGGATAGTGAATCAGATTAAAATGGGGGGGGGGATTTTCAGCATAAATAGAAGTGTGTCGGGTTGCCTTTTGATTGTTTTTAGACGACGTGTCATTCCTGTTTGAGTCTTTCATTGTGTGTACAATATCCCTCAAAGAAACGAATCCTACGTAAGAGATAAAATATTTAAGAAATTCAGTAGCCCGCCCGTACTAAACAATATTTGATTTCTGTCCATATATATAGTAAAGAAATAATATATGACTACTTGGTTAAATTAAGTAAAACATTAACTCCTACACATGTTATTAGAAAGTGCCAATTATTATTTCAAATATGTCGAAAGTGAAAATTTATGAAATTTTTTATCAGTCATTTGTATGGGTTTATCCGGGTTCGAGGGTTGATGGTTTGGATCTCATAAAATATTTAGGATCCTATTATCTATCCTAGATCTAGCTGTACCTAGCTTTTCCTATTTATAAATCGTTCAATAGTCAAGTTGAATACTGGAATAAGTTCAGAAAGAAGTGTTTCATTTCTGTGTGACACATTTTATCCAACCAAAAACTTTCAAATATTTTACACCTACTTTTATTTATTTGGTGACGCTTGCTTTACAAGTATCTTACTAGCTACAATATCTGTGATGCATAGTTAAGGTAGACATGATTTTAATCTTCTTTAAAAGTATTTCTTGGAATCTGCTTTACCTGAGTTTTAACTAATATAGATGTGTAATTATGACTTGAAAACAAAGCTAAAATTTCTTGTTTCTAAATGAGTATATGAATATGACCCAGTAGCACCATTTCTTTGTATTGATCACTGAAGAGTGTTTCTACTTTCAGACATTCATTTTCAAATAAACGTTTTTACATTCAGTTAGTGTATGATTAATTTCATTATATGAGAAAGTGGTCGATTCAGTGTAGCTTTATGTTTAGTGCTTAAAACCATCCACCCAAACTAAAGCAAAGGATATATACATGTTTATCTTAGATTATCCTAATATCAGAAATTAACACTGGAATTATATAGATACAAATCAGCTAATATGCTTGAGTTTCAACAATTCGTTGTGTGAAATCTATACTTTGCAATCAATTTTACCACGTTTAACCTTGGAAAGGTTTGATAGTTTATCTGAGAAACATTTTTTTGTACATAGCTTTCTTCTACTGATGAAATGTTTTTGGTAAATTTCTTTTGCTTTGTTTTTATTTATATCAGGCCCTGTTAGGCTGGAAGACCACTGAATACTAGGGAACATTGAATAGCTGTTTCTTCCTAACTCGATACTCCTGATGGTAATCTATATTTTAATAGATATTAACAGACCTAGAAAATGGACTGTTTGTCGCTAAACAGCCGTTCGTTCAGCATGAGAACCAGAACGAAGTTTAAATTTATGAAGTTATGGTCATAGCCTTAGAACAGTGGAGAGAGTAATCTTATGGCATAATGTTATGATGTTCATATAAGCTTTTATTGCTTAATATTTCTGGACTACTTCACTCGACAAGTCTCCGAATCAGAACACTGTTGTGCAGGAACGTTAGTGTATTTTATAATTTTTGTACAAGATTATTCTAGAGTTTTCTCCAAGTATCCGCTAGCGTTGACTGGATAAGAAATAGTCAATCAGCGTACTTCAATAATACTGCACTGAACATGTTTCAATCCAATCTGTATCATGCGAACACATAATAGACATAAAAAATATATGGAGATTGAAGAGAACATTTATAGTTGAAGCTACTAATCTATGTTGACATAATCCATTTATGTCATCCAAACATTTCAAACCACTATGATTTCTCCCAATCCTAGGAATAAAACTGGATTGTTTGTTCACTTTTTTAGATTCACGTCATGTTTAATATCGCGCAAGTGGCTATGATGACTTCTTTATCGTCTGAGATATGTTTTATAAAGGACTATATACGTGCATTTCTGTCCTTTGAATTCACTCGTTTCATCACGTAATTTTTCATGATTGACTTCACATATTATACGTTCTTGTTCGCATTTCTCTTTGAACTTTTCATTGCAAGAGTTTCAAATCCTTTAGCTGTGAAAATTAATCTACTTAATGTCGACAAATCCTCTTTGCCATATGACTAGTTTTCTAACAAAATAGGATTGATATATTATTTTTCTTTTGTGGTCCATTAACACTATTTTTTTTACTTAGTTTTCAGCAGCTCATCTTTTTGAATACATAGCTCTCTGACTCCATCATAGTGCGATGTGATAAACCATATTCATGGCTTGTAAAAAATCTGTGGCATGTTTTGTAAGGGCTAAGTTTGTTTACGAAGGGTATAACTTTGGCAGACCCTATCATATTTTTGGGAGATACCTAAGTATCACTTTTTCTCAAGTTTTGCGGTAAATTCGATACTCGAATAAAGCATTATTAAGTTGTAAACACCATTAAAATATTTGCCCGGTATAGAATAATAAGTGTATTCTTTTTAAATTTGTAACAAATTTATAAACGAGGACTGACCCACATAACCGCACAGTTTGCTGAACAGCGTAACTTATTGTTAAATGAAAGCTGTCAGTAGTCTTAGGAACATTGGTATGAATCTGTGTCGTTATTAATGACCAATAGTACCAGTTGTGTCTTCTGTTATTAGTGTTTGTATATCTCTCTGAACATAGATTATAACCCTCTTTTATCTCTAGCGACCAAAAACAATTTCATCCGGTGACATGTTTACGATTACCAGATTTAGGTTATAATCAATTAACATATAATTAAAGCAATTATTTGAATTGGAAGCCGTAAGCATGTACCTGAATGAGATTAACACAAGACTATCAGCTCTTTGCTAGGTTCGAAAAACCATATCTAATTTGAAGTGAAAAAGATCTACAAGAACTGACAGGTTAACTCTGGATGTTTATACATATGGTAATCTGGTTTTAGCGGTTAGATTGATATACTAAATGGAAGTTAGATATAATTCTATCTGATTAATCTCGATGGCTGACATTCTCAGTTTAGTAGAAAGGAAAAACTTCCTTTTGTGTTATCCAGAAAGTGATTAATTATGACTAGTATAGCGTTTCAAATATAAAATCCATAAACATTTGACCGTAGGTTGGAGCTCAGGACAAGTAAACCAGAAAAAAACAGACTGACTTCATCCCTCGACTTGTGGACCAAATGCTCATTTCTTTTCACTATTTTGAACGTAGGGATAACTACACATGTTGAAGAACCAATAATTAATGCTAAAATACAGCACAGTAAAAAGACGAAATCCGTTTACTAAGTTATAAATGCTACGTCTGCTTAACCACCGCCTACCATGATATACAATGCTTGTTAACATAAAAGATTCGGAAAGTGCTTATATTGGTCAAATTTAGTCAGATTGCTGGTTGGAGCTGTCGGAATTTGTAGAATTTCTGGTTGGAGTTCATACTATACTCAAATTCCTGTGTTCTATATATCTGTATTGAAGGAATTCCCCTTTCTGATTACATCTATTATTTTGAAAGCATGTAAGTGATTACTGTACACTTGACTTTTAGTCAATTCTCCATGAATACAGAACAGTGTAACTCAATATTGTTCAGTTTAAACAATAAATTGAAAACATCAGAAAATGAAACAGATACGATATGAAATAATAATTTATCATTTAAAATGACACAATAGTTTAGTGTTTACATACTACTACATATTAACTTAGAAAATAAATAATATTAACAAACTTTTTTTTCTCAATTTTTTTTCATTGCACTCAATTAACTAACATACATTAGTTAAAAATTACAACAACAAAATATGTTAAACAGTATGAATAAATTGAAGATGAATTGAGTATTTATTATTATGGTTATGTTCTTAAAGGAAAATGGTTTTTATTATAAATGAACATTTTAGAAAAAAAATAGAAAAAAAACACAGAAAATTGATCATGACAAGGAGGAGGAAAGAGACAATAATACAAGAAGTAAAACAGAACAATATAATTGATCATAAATAAATAGACACGGACTATAATAACATAAATTAGGATCATTGAAATGTAAGTAAGTAACGTTATGGTAAAACGAAAAGAAAAAAAAACACAACCAACTTCTTGATTCAATGAAATGAGATATGAAATTTATAACAATGAACACGTTGAATAGTTTATAATGAAAACACTGAAGAAAAAAATATACAAAATAATCATTACGAATATAAATGAATGCTGAAAAAGATAGATTCAAAAAAGGAGTTAAATAAATAATTGATTAATGGTTATTAGGTGAGTGTTTTTCATGAGAATTATATACAGGTGATTGTAATAATGTAGCATTCGTTATTTCACAATCTAATTGCAGCACAGTTAAAATGGAATCTGAACTATTATAATAATTATCTTCACCATCAACAGACGATCCTATAGAGGTTTTTTTAAAAAAAAGATAAGATTATATGTCTGATAATTAAAGAAACTGTTGCCAACACTAACTATTTAAATATTGATCATGTCAAGCAGATCTGATTTGATATTTAATATGTAATGATAATTAATAAAACTTTTTAAGTCACTGATCAACTGAGGCTCATATGCAACTAAGAGTGAGATTTCAGTTTTAACTCAATTTATTTCAGATGAGTTTTTTATGGTTCATAGACATGAAAGTATCATTCAAAAGGGGTTATCGTTTCAGCTCACAGAATCAATACTCACGTTTTTATAACCATTTTCACGAGTCCTCCATCCAAGAAGATGGATGCGTAAGGAGCCCCATAGTTGAACACCTTAAGAGCACGAATCGTTCAATCAAAAGCAGACTTAGGGCTGAAAGACACTCATAAGGGAAATACAAATCCATCAAAGACAGTGAAATTATGTATTCTTAGGGTTGGTGGAGTATTTTTCATGCATCTAGTTAAGCCAGAACTGTACACAAAAGAAATCTGTCCAACCTCCAATTTCCCAAAGTTATTACCCTCTTCCACTGACCGTTTAACCGATTTGTTTTATTTCATTACCTCCTGATGATATTTCATCCCAATATTTTATTGTGTTATACAATACCCCTACTGAATTATTACTCTTTAACTTCTATGACGTTTTATTGAGTTTTATGATCCCAACAATAAGATTTTTTAATTTCCTAGTAGCTTTTCTTCTCTATGCTTACTAAATTATTATTTTTGACAAACATATTACTTATTATCACTGTAAAAAAGTATATATTTGAGATTGTAAAGCTTGTAGAAATGAATTCATTGAAACGAGAGATGTCATGTGAATGAATTGCTCTTACTTTTATGATTTATAACATGAATTTAGGAAAAAATATGACACATAGGTGTGAGAAATAGGAAAATGAAAACATTTTATGGAGTTGTATTTACATTAACTTTTAAGGAATAAATAAATGGAACGTGGAGATATTATTCACATAAAAGACGAGTGAGAATCGGACATTGTTTTGTGCACTTGAAATTCGAACAATTACCTAGGTGATGACGTTATGTTAGAAACTAAAAAGAAGTCGACATTTTTGCAAAAACATCGTAATTACTCTCTACGTATCAATGTTTATGAACATTCATAAAAGCATAAATTAAGGTGTATAGATTCAAGAGGTTAAAGATTACCGACACCAAATGAATGTAGTAGAAGATAATAAACATTTCACTTCTACCTGAAGTTTGTGCTGATGATGTCGTTCAGAAGAACGATGAAAGCTCCACAACCAAACCATCCAACTCACAGAACAAAACTCCATCAAAATCATCTGCCTGAGCTACAAATCTCCAACATTTCAAGATATTAAACCTGCATTCAATAATTCATATAGAATTTTTAAATAATATGTTCAATACGACTGTTAAAATGAATTAGTTGATTTGCGGAAGGCTTAATCATTTTAAACTTATTTGAATGGCAGTAAAGTAACGAGAATTCAGTGAAAATATATTAGTTATTTCTAAAGAAAATTAACTAATAGGATTATTGAAAGAATAAAACAAAGCCTGTGAACTTTTTTATTTATTTATTTGTTGTTGAGCACAACAGACGTTTCTGAAAAAACGACTACTGTTTGAATGAAATAGGTATTTAATGAAACGTTTCACAAATTTAAAATACTGTAGAAAAATATGTTAACAGAAACCACTATGTAAACAATAAAAGATAAGGTAACGCCTTAACTTTTATTTGTATTAACTTATTTTGGTCACTAACCAATGAATTACCTATAAATTATGATAGACAAGTGAGAAGTTGGTCATAATCATGATCAATACATATATAAAAACATTTCGTGTTTTAAAAAAATATGATAAAAGTTTGCGTTGCACCAGATTTCTTAGCAAGCATAGCATAGAAATGGTAAACACTTTAAATCAAGTATAACTTTTAATGAAAGTGTATCAAGACTATTTTCCATTAAATAAAACAGCATAAAAAATAAGATGAACATCAATAATATAACAGCTAGCAAGACACTATATATATATATGAGCATTTAAGAAACAAACCGTTGAGAAACATTTTTTGGATAAATGTGTTACACTTCAGGAAATGATTTTGAATTTTATTAGTTCTACCGGTTGACTGTTATTGTTTGTCATTTTACGTGTAGCTCTGACTTGGGTATCTCCAAAAAGAAGGCTGGCCAGCTGTTCATATATACCTAATAAACGATCTTATCTTGAGTCAACTAAGTTTATGATAATTTTTAATAAGGCAGATATGTGTTAAGCATGATCTAAGGTTAACAGAAAATAATTAGTTTTACACATTACAAGTTATTACTTTTATATTCTCAGCTAATTGATTATCGCAAAATACGAATGCCAATTTAGATACGCTGACTTATACGACCAAACTAATGACTCATACTCCAGTACGAGCAGACTAAAGTTCCGATTCCTGCTTCGGTTTGGGCACCCGGGCAGTATCACAGCCCTCACACATATCGAATGAGATTTGTGTGTCGCATATGTATTTGGTGCCTCTTTGTACCAATATCTATGTGTTGAAATAAATAAATAAATAAAAGTTCCGATTGGTTCTTTTTCGCCTAGCCCTACTTGTTAAGTCCAGAACGCCAATCTTAGCCTCCGCAGTACAAATCATGTATTTCAAATATACTTGGTTTATACACAAGCGAAATCAAACCACATCACACCATAAAATAGGAAATAGCATTCGTACAAGACCAAGCCAAAAGTGGCTGTGGTTGTGAGAAACTGCGACCAATAGATTGAGAATAACTCGAGAACAGTAAATCATATAACAGTAACCAATAGGTCAAACAAAAACTTATAGTGAAAGGAATATGAATATATATAAAATATAGTTCATTAATGGTGATACAGTAAGGATATTTGTATAATATTAGGCCATAAATAATTCTTAACGGTTACCATTCATTTATTCTCATCCGGATATAACAAATACAATTTAAAATGTACACTAATCAAGAGGGGAAATTGTACATTTTTATACTCAATTTATATTTTATTTTGTGGCCACTCAGATCGAAAAATTCTCTCGTCCTTATGTTAAGACACCTTTTGTAATTTTGTTAGGAATTCGAAAGCTTATGATTAAAGCCAATGTTAAGATTATTCCTTCATAATTTTGGTACTGATATTACTCATATTCATAATCATTATCTTTACTTCTTTTATTTTTCATTCACGATGTACGCGCTCCATTTTTTAGAGTGCAAAAGCAACTAATATGTCTATATGTATTAATAAATCAGAACACAACTGTAAAACTCCATTTGTTCTCAAAATTTTTAAAGAGATAGCTAACAGATTGATAAGTCTTGTCGACTGAACGCTATATTTATTTCCTAAGCTATTCCGATGACCCGCACGCTAGAACTACACAGCGACTTGAACACCAGAGAGAAGACGCAAGTATGAGAGAAAATACTCTACTCCAAAGTTCATTGTTGTACAGAAAGCATGGGTATTTATAGATGTTGACGTTTGTTAGATCAACATCATATTTCAGCCAATCCGTTAACGACACATTATGCTACTGACCAATAGTAGCACGCCACTTTGGAATTCTAGAATGCTCCATCGTGCTCTGATTGGCTAGGACTCTTCGGCTCCTTTTGGGCCTCTGGAGGCTCCGTTGAAGTTCTCCGAAAGCCGACTCAACACAGATGAAATGCATTTATATATAGTGAATATAAAAATCGGATAAGTGGTTATGAATAGTCATGTGTAGTTAAGAATTTCTTTCTAAGATTGTAATTACTCTTCTGTTTGTATCTAATACTATAACACTTTAACCATGTATAACAATTTTAGGTAAAGTTTGGCATAAACAATTATATACAAACTGATATGTAGAGAAATCTTATTAAACTCTCTTAAGTAAATAATGTTTTTAGAAAGAAATAATGTATACGTTGACCAAAAAGGTTATCATCTACAGTATGTGTTGGTAGAAAACAGTATACAGATTAATTTAATAGAGATATTATTATTATTATTATTATTATTATTATTATTATTATTATTATTAATGGCTTTATTCAATATTATAGTTTTGGTACAATATAGAATTCTCAGCACAGGGTATTTCAACAAGTTACTTACTGAACAACGAACAAAAAGGCAGTAACAAATACAAGAAATAAAAAAGGTTTAAAAAAAATTTAAAAAAATAAATAACCAAAAAACTGTACAGACTTTAAAATTAAAGACATGTTAAGAATGCAGGTTATTGACTAGGTTAACTCTAACAACCTGTTCGTCACAGAGTATATTTGCTAGGTAAGGTATTATAGAACTTTTATACTTTTGCTTGCGTGCATGGATTTTAATGTAATTACGTCTCGTTCTACCAGAAGATATACAAGGAGAAAGATAAGAATGAAGGGGATGGCTAGTATCTGATAAAATAACACCTGCCAGGAGTTTGCATGATTTTAGATGTCTATCCACAACCATATTAATAATTATGACCTCGAAAGATTCACCACACACCTTGCTAACTGCCTTCAGCACTCTCTGCAATACAGCATAGTCTTTTCTCAAAAGCCCGGGAAAGAATAATAGAGAACAGTAAAGAATAATAGGTAATATGCAAGAATTGACAAATTGTAAGAGTAAATGACGAGTAATTCCAAGAGCATGCAATCTCTTTATGTAGTAGGTCAGACGGAAAACCTTCTTCGATAACGATAAAACGTGGGAAGACCAAGACAGATCAGAGGAAAAGGTGACACCAAGATAATTGACCTTCGACACTGAGTTTATCAAGGAGTCTCCGATGGTACAAGCACTATGGGATCTCAAAATAGTGTTTATATTCCGTTCATGTCTCATACTAAAGTTAACAGCTTGAAATTTAGATGGATTAAGTATGAGACCGTTACCAACAGACCAACAATCAATACGAGACAAAAACTCATTCATTTCTATGGGATGTAAAGAGGAAGAGATAGGCATACATGCAATGAGATCATCCGCATATTTCACAAAAGTGTTTTCTGTGGAAAATGACAGGTCATGCAGAAAAAAAGAGAATAGAAGCAGTGAAAGAACAGCTCTTTGTGGTATACCTTCCTGAGACAGTAGAGATTCTGAACACTTTCCTCCAAACACAGTGTACTGTTCCCTTCCAGAGAGGTAGGAACATAGCCAGTTGGTTATCCAGCTGTCAGTGTTGACGCTGATTAACTTGTTAAGTAAACGTATATATATTGTATATATTGTATAACTATTGAGTAAGTGCATTATTTTGACCTACAGACTATTAATATAAGATTTACTATTCTTAAGTTATACTCAGTTTATTAATTACAGTCTCACACAATCACAGACACTTTTTGGCTTGATTTTGTACAAATGTTATTATTTATTTTATGGTGTGATCTGGTCTGTTTGGCTTGTATAGAAACCAAGGTATCTTTAAAATAAACGATTCATATATTGGAAGCTGATATTGGTGTTCGGGACTCAACAAGCAGAGCTAGGCAGAAAAAGGGCCAATAAAGACAGTGTTAAGATTGTCTAAGTCGTATTGTGATTAGCGAGTAAATCAGGCGAAAGTCACGACAAGATTATTAGAAAACTCGAAGATTTTTCTGGTGAAAATAATTGGATAGTTAAGAAATTGATGCAAAGATGAAATTGTATGGATGACGATACTAATGATTGAGAAGATATTATTTTACGAATGAAATTAAATAGATCGTTATAAAATGAATAATGAATGAGAAATTCGAAAAAATTCAGTCAAATATTAATATAATAGTTGCTTACAAATTAAACAGATCAAATATTAGTAATCGTTAAGACAGAGTAAAGAAGCGAGGAAAATGAATGTGAGTTTCTTTACATGACAGAGTCGAATTCTTTTCAAAAACAAATGCCATCATTACTTTGGATAATGCATTAGATCTAAACTTTTATTAAACGTTTTATTTGATGGATCAAGGCAATTGCTGCGCTATGTCTGTCGTTGTTCTTTCTGCCACTAATTATTTATTACTTACTTTCATTAATTATTATAATTTTTAAAACACCAGTGACAAATTCACCACTATTTACTAAAGGCTAAATAAATCTAAACATAGAGCTACAAATGCCAAAAATTTTCGGCAAGAAATATTTCATTTCGTCTTTTTTATGCTAAAAATATCATTGGCTGAAGTGGTAAACACGTATTAACTATTGAACAGTTTTAAAAATCATTTTTAACACTCAAAGTACAGCATTATTTCTATGGTGAGACATTAATCTACAGAACAACCAACCAGAATTAAAATAGAAAGTCATGGATTTTGAATAAAATCCATTTATCCATATAGATAAATAGCATTTCGGTAGAATAGCTGATGTTCATTCGTGATGAAATCCCCAACGTCCAAATGTGAATCCCAATTCCTCGCACTAATTTATAACCCTCATTTAACCCTAGCAAGTGGATATTTTCAAGGTCACTTAAGAATCCCTCACACATCGTCCATGAATTATATTCTCACCATTAGTTTATCAGACTCAAAGAGAGTAAATATATCATTTTTTGCTCTTTTGCGAACTGGAAATATGATACTTAGCAAATAGTAACGAAAAAATTATAATCTATGCGACAGTGAAAGAGAAAGTTAAACGTAACAAACCGAAAAACAACCTCGACAATATCAACAATACTGCAAGATTACGATACGTCAATATATAACACAACTAAAGACAATAATACTATAAATCTATTTTGATGAGAATATAAGCTAAGTTCGTGAAGAATACAAATCGAAAACGTTAAATTATTGATGTTAAAATGATGTAATGACGCAGTAGACGCCCAACTTCGAGATCAACAGGCTGGATTCCGTAAGGATCGGTCGTGCACAGACCAAATTGAGACAATACGTATCATCGTCGAACAATTAGTTGAGTAAAACTCGTCACTGTACATCAACTTCATTGACTATGAAAAGTCGTTTGACAGTGTAGATAGGAGGACGCTATGGAAACTTCTTCGACACTACGGACTTCCTGAGAAGATTGTCAGCATTATCCGGAACTCATACGACGGACTACAATGCAAAGTATTGCATGGAGGACAGCTGACAGATGCATTCCAAGTAAGCATCGGAGTCAGACAAGGCTGCCTACTCTCTCCCTTCCTCTTTCTTCTGGTGGTCGACTGGATTATGAAGACCTCGACATCTGAGGGAAAACGCGGCATACAATGGACAGCTCAGAATCAATTAGACGATTTGGACTTCACAGATGACCTAGCCCACATGAACAAATGCAGATAAAGACAGCCAGTGTAGCAGCAGTCTCTACATCAGTAGGCCTCAACATACACAATGGAAAAACCAAGGTTCTCAAATACAATACGGAGAACAGCAATCCAATCACTCTTGATGGCGAAACTCTGGAAGATGTAGAATCCTTCACATATTTGGGAAGTATCGTCGATGAACAAGGAGGATTAGATGCAGACGTAAAGGCGAGGATTGGCAAAGCAAGGGCCGCATTCCTTCAGTTGAAGAACATGGGGAACTCAAAACAACTTTTAACTAGTATCAACGTCAAAATCTTCAATACTAACGTCAAGGCAGTTATATTGTACGGAGCTGAAACTTGGAGAACTACAACAACCACCATCAAGAAGGTACAAGTATTTATAAATGGTTGTCTATGCAAGATACTCAACATCCATTGGCCAGATACCGTCAGCAATAGCCTTCTGTAGGAGAGAACAAACCAGTTTCCAGCTGAAGAGGAAATTAGGAAAAGACGATGGAAATGGATGGGATATACACTACGCAAATCGTCAAACTACATCACGAGACAAGCCCTAACTTGGAATCCTTAAGGGAAGCGGAAAAGTGGAAGGCCGAAGAACACATTACGTTGGGAAATAGAAGCAGATATGAAAACGATGAATAACAACCGGAAGGAGCTGGAAAGGATTGCTCAGGACAGGGTTGGATGGAGAATGCTGGTGAGCGGCCTATGCTCCTTCACGAGGAGTAACAGGCGTAAGTAAAAAGCAGAAAAATTAAACCCTTTGTTCATGAAATATAAAGTGGTGGGCTGGTCAATATACTGATTAACAATGTGGAAAAATGAAATAAACGAAAAATAAAAATATGCGTACATGCTAATAATTTAGGTATAACCTTAGGCAAAACAATATGAGTAAGATATTAAGAAAATTAATAACCAAGCAATGTTATTTAATAATAATAACAATAAGAATACTGCATGAATGCAGTATCCATCGAGATGAATTAGTCTGTTTCTACATCATACAGTTTATTATCGGGATATTATGTCTATTCACACTTATTTTTAACTTTACATCCAAAATGTTACTTTAGTTACTATGTCATAAAAGTAATGTTGAGCATACGGTGTCCTCTCATTTTGTAGAGTAGTTTGTTGTCAACCGAAAAGATGATTTATTTGGGAATGCAGTTACATCCAGCTGATGAGTCCCGAACGAGACGAAACACTCATTTCAGATTCGACAACTAGATACCATACATCTCTGCTTATAAGACTTGTGACTTAACGACAATATCTGCACACGATGCACATATAACAAAAAAATACTGATCAATTTAGTTCTAAGTATCAACGAGATTTAAGCAACCAATAAATATGAATACATTTAAATTTGACAAATGATGTAAAAGCAGTAAAATATTTTCAGTTTTATATAAATACCAGTAAGAAATATACGATTCTAATGAAACATGGTGTCACAGTTGCCAAGTAGATTTTTAAGGTTACTATTAATCATAAATAAAAACATTAACTGCAGAACAGTTGAACACCAAAGAGCACTAGATACGTATTCCATTTCATCCTAGAACTCATCAGTAGTATGAAATTATATCAAGTGAAATAGAACCGAATATTTTTATGCCTCATAACAAGCATGATGCCAAAATATCACTTATTTAAACTTTCATGAAAGGATTGGAAAGTGGATAGTATTTTTTATATAAGGATTATTTGTAGTATTATCCATAAAATAAGATTATACTAATGACATTACAGTTAGACTTTCAGGATTTCTCAGGTTAAGATCGTTAACAAATAATGCACGAGGCTGAAAAATATGCTAAAAAATTTTTTTAACCAATAAAAAACATTATATTAACTTACCGTTGATCACAGAATGAGCTGGAAGTAGGAACGTTATTTTCTGTTTCATATTTGCAGGTAATGGATCAACTGAAGGCAGGAGGAAATGATCCCGGTTTAAAAAAACAATGTATGCTGTATCATTGCGACGATTAACGACACTAAATAATTTTTCAAACGCGTGAACAGCAGGATGAATGTAAGGCTTGAAATGATATTAGTAAAAAGATAAAACCAGAAATATATATATGGATTAGTTGAAACAGAAGTTACAGAAATAATATGTTTTAATGTGCATTGGATAAAACGACAAAAAAGTACCTAATATCTGGGTACGGAAGAATTTGATTAGGCATTTCAGATACTTTATAATCTTAGATACTATGTAGTAAGTTCGAAATAAAAGTATGTGAATACGTGTGAGATTTCTGAATTCAATAGCACAACTAAAGCTGGCCCATCATGTACGATAAATGAAATTACTTTGTACTTAATTCGAACAACTGAATGATCAACCATTGTTCCACTGTTCATTGAAGGAAACAATAGACAAATATAACACAGCAGTACATTATTTTGTGTAGAACCTCGTAAAAACTGAAAGTATAAATGGGTAATGTTATTATGAAGCCGAATAAACAAATTTGACGTATATTACTGAGAGACTGAAGTGATACTATTTAATATACGATAAGGGTGGGTGAACCAGATAGAAACAGTATTCAATAATTTTCGACTACACATCAAATAATATTTTCGAAGTCAATGAAAGCTGATGAGGTCCTTGAGCAAATTATGTATTAATCCTCTAAATCCTAAAATAGTAACGAGTCTAAGGTGTTTTGCTTCATTACAGCTAAATGCTTATAATATTGTAAACGAACAGAGATTAGAATGTCTACAAGAAGATCTGTTCTTTGAACTACAGTCTTATTTTAAGGGGTTTAAATAAACCAGTAAAATAAACATTCACACAAAACTATGGAAAACTACGTGAACCCAATTAGCAATCAAATTAATAATAATGAAACAACTTCAACAGTAAAGCAGCTGTGTTCTTTATGTCAAGAATATTGGTTTAGTGATTTGAATAAAATTCACTTAATTAGATTAGACAAGTGATCAAACATTAGGTAAGGTTAGGATTTCAATACATGGAAAAATTCAGTACTAATTTTCTTGACATTCGCGTTGCTACCTGACAGTAATAAAAAACTTGACATAAATAAGAATAAATAATGGTACTATAGAATGTTATGAACAAGAATTAAAAAAATAAAATAGATTTACTCATCATATATACTAACCATTTAAGCAGAACTATAAAAAAGAAAGGAAGAACCATAGAGATACCATTCAACAACAATAGAATATTGAAAAGTAGAAATTTTGTGAAAACGCTACGCCTTAAAACAGTTAACCAATGGATGATACATCGAATTTAATAAATAGACATATAGAAATACCAATAATTTTACGATGCAAATGAAGCTAATCTGTAATGTATTACCAGCAATCAGTAATAGTTTGTAATTTCCCGTAGTTTTTGTTAGCATTTCAATCGATAGGTTTCTGTTGGTGTCAATAATGTCATTATTTAGTCAGACGTGCCAGTAACAACTTCAACTCTACTATAACCAACAGTCTTTACGGAAAAATATGTGCTTAGAAATTCCTTCACATGAAACAATAGTAAATTTCGTCAATGTCTAGTCTGTTTATAAATAGTAAAGCAATTGGATGATTTGACTGACTTATCAGTTAAATTTCATCTAAACCAAGTCACCTATAAACATTACCAATAACCATACGTAACTTTATAGACAAAGGACTTTTATGCCGAAGAACACACAATTTATTTAAATTATGCGTTTTATATGCTAATATTGAAAAAAAACACCTAGAAAGTCGTGCAGACAGATATCTATAGTCATAATATGGTAGTGAAACATAAATATTATGTAACAGTTATGATTAACAAAGAGTTGCAAATTTTTTAATTAATAGGTGCTGTAAATGAGAGTAACAATTCATTGTAAAGGTTTACTGCCAATATAAATTGAGAATAAATTATTAGTGAACAAAATAACTAAATAAATATCTTTTTGTTCATTGAATACAACCAAACATGTAAAAGTATATAAATCAATTGGTCATTGAAATGTTTTCCTGATAAGCACAATTCAATTATTTCACTTACCAATTTAAACATTTCACAACAGTATATTTTATGAAAAATTTGAATATGCAAAAAACAAAGTTCATCCACTTATAATAAAACAATGGTACTAATTGCAGTGACAATTATCATAAATAAAAGAACAGTTGAGAGTATAGCTACACAAGTATCTTGTTCACAGATATATGTAATAAGTTAGGCCTAGAACAATAAAGTAAAGCAACCTTATAAATTAGTGTAAACAGCAAAAACTTGGTTGTAGCTTTCAATGCACACATTATGTTTGTATACTTAGGTGATAAGATTAGACTATATGAAGTATAGTTTTTTTAAAAGGTGTTATACTCAATGACTATATTAGAACAAAAACCGTATAGAAAACTTCTTTTATATAATGAAATCGATCAAGAAGATTCAACATTTGTATATAAATAAAAATCCAGAAAAAGACACAAACAGCATGAATCACTTCTAGGTTAAAAACCATTGCACACTGGTGTTATCAGACTGTTTGTATAAACGATAAATTCATTCTCATCACAGTTTTACAATTATTTTCATTTTGCTATCACAATTTAGAATTCACTTATTGTATTTTCATTGAGTAAGTGTTCATTTACATATAAATGTAGAAAAATACAGAAAAAAGTTGAAATGCAAAAACCTTAGATTGAGATAAACGGAACTAACATTAATGTAATGTATATGACTGCTGGTGATAAGAATGGCAATGAAATCAGATGAAATCCTAAACAATTGAAATATAAAGTTGAAAAAAACGAAAAAAACTGTACTTAAATGTGAACTAATTTTGATTCCAGGGACACATAACTGTATGACGTTATTGAAGGAATAAATGCATATTTTTGAAAACAATAAAATGAATGACTTTTTCGCTTAGTTTTACTCACTGTACATGAATATAGCTAAAATCCAAAAACGAGATCCCATTTAGCTTTTTCATTGTGTTTAATACTCTCGGAAATTACATGACATACGTATACAAATAGGAATAGAAATGTTTTGTGTAATTTATGTCGACATTATGTTTTGTTATTTGTAAGTTCTGACACTTATACTTGGTATTATATGTGATTTATTGTTAGAGATGAGTTGATTTAAACCCCAATCGAAAAAAAACATAGAATTTGAAATGAGCTAAAATGAAGCCTGTAGTATGGAATAGATAGTGGCGAAATTTCAGGATCACAGACAGAAAAACAATACTTCGGAACACATATGGATCGGTTGAACTGATGAAACGTGATCGATAATGTTGGTTCATGTTTATAATCCGGTAAATTTAATTAATTAAATAAACTGGTTCACTGATCTATACTCTAAGTGTGTGAGCTAACCCAAATATGTGATGCGGAGCTTGAACCATGCTCTCGACAGCTAAAATGAGCTTATTTCATGTCTACCGAATCACATAATAATTATTGTATAATTCTGGCCAATAACTTTCTACTAGACAATACCAAATGGCGCTTAGATGAAACTTTTCCCTTCATAACTATATATTGATTATGTTTGTAGAAGTTAACAAAAACTATACACAAACACGAACCCAGTGATGATTTAAAGATTCACTAACCGAAGATACATCACAAAGCAAAAACTAAAAAAACTGATTAACAAAACAGGCTTCATAATTAACAATTAACAAAACATTCAAATTGTTCATGAAATCATACTTTAAGCAAACTCATTAAGTGAAACATTCAAGGGACAATTAGTGGTTAGTGAAAGAGAACTTTCAAAGACAACATACATCAGATTCATTGATATCATCCTAAATAATTTGAGATGATGTGGGAAGTGATTGATGAGTAAGCAGTTACAAAAGAGGATGAATGAAACAATTTCAATACGAGATTCGATAGTAGAAATGCGTCTACGTTGAACAAAACAAATCAACAAATTTGCAGAAGAATATATTTGCTATCAGTGAATTTTTAGAAAATCATTATAATTTTTGAAAGACAAACAGGTGTCTAAACAAACGGAAAAGACACTGTTAACTTTCCCTAGATTTGAATTACGATTATACGATTGTTTGCACCCAAATGCCCTGGTATGGCCGAGAGCGGGGTGGGTTCGCCCTCCCTCTCGCAATACTCTCACACGGCCGCGCGTATACAGCCTCTGCCAGGGAAGTCCTACTCACTGCCTTCTCGTGGCGGGGGTGTTGTTTACGAAAATGAGAGGACGAAAAGCGAATGTCCAGCGCTTTAACCGGATTCCAAATCTATGGTGCACATGGGCACCAGTATCCTACGGGAACAAATGGCGTATGAACCAATTTCCGGTCACCGGCTACCATGGGACTGCATCTCCTTACGATGCTCCATTGCCTTGTGGGTTAGACCTTTAGGTCAAAGGCTCGGAGTGTGGCCCCCTAAGATAACCACCTACTTCGGTCTGGGCACCCGCGCAGTATCGCAGCCCACATGCAATTAATGAACTGAACTGTCTATGATCATGGAAACTAATTCTCTTGCTTCGACGAACATTCAAATGATTCAACTATTATTATTGCTATTATTATTATTATTATCAGTATTATTATTATTACTAATATTTTTTACTACGTCATTATTCACCCTCTTTTATTCCTACTCCGTCTATACTTATTTTTTTAGACTTATACAGCAGCTCGTCTATGGTGGAAATTCGACTGTATCTAAACGTTCTCGAGTCACTGTCCGGTTGAAAATTGTATGTTACCACCGAATACGAGAACTGAAGCAGTTTTTCTGAAACCACGTGCACCATTCAAACTGGCTGCCTTCAACGTTCGCACATTTATGCAGGTCGGACAACAGATAGGGCTGGCTATGTCTTTGGAAAGTCTTAATATCGATCTTTGTTGTCTATCCGAGACCCGTATTCAAGACTCTGGCGAAGTACTACAAATTCGATCTCCATCTGTCGCTTCGAAAAGCTTGTTTTACGTGCGCTTATCCGGGGACCCTGTGGCATCTTCGTCTGGTCTTGCTGGCGTTGGTGTCGCACTAAGCGCTAGAGCTGAGGCAGCACTAGTCGATTGGATCCCCATTAACAGTCGGTTATGTGCTGTTAGATTAGAAAGTTCCATCAAAGTGAGAAGAAATCGGCGTGAGAAACGATGTCTTTTCGTCATCTCCGCCTATGCCCCGACAGATTGCAGCCCGGATGCAATCAAGGATGAGTTTTACCACCAGTTATCAGTTCTTCTCCAGAAAGTGCGTTCGACAGATATTGTAGTACTAGCCGGAGACTTGAATGCTCAGGTCGGGCGTCTAGGCACAGAAGAGAGTCGTTTAGGTGGCCGATGGGGACTTGTTGGTCGCAGGTCAGATAACGGGGACCGTCTACTGCAACTTTGCACAGACCACAACCTGTTTCTGGCTAGCACTAACTTTCGGCACAGTCATCGCCGATGTGCCACCTGGCGTCCTCCCTCTGCATCTCAAGCCTGGACTCAGATTGATCACATCGCGATCAGCTACCGCTGGCGTGGTTGTGTACAAGACTGCCGCTCCTTTTGGAGTACCTATCTGGACTCTGACCATGCCTTGGTCTGCGCCAATCTTGCCTTACTTTTCAGTGGACAACGAAGTGACAGCCATCAACGGATTGATGTTAGCAAGCTGGTTGCAACTTCTGTTGCAAGTAAGTATCGAACCGAGCTAGCCTCTAGGCTAGCTACCACTCCACCGAAAAGTATAGATGAGCATTGGTTGCAATTGCATGACGCCATGAAAATGGCGGGAACAGTCAGTTGTGGGTTTGCGAAACGTCCCGCTTATAAGCACTGGGTTTCTTCTGGTTCCTTACAACTCATTGAAGCCCGTCGGTCTACTCCGGGTGACCGTGAGTTTGACCATAAACGAAGGATGTTACGTAAGGAAATTGGGCAAAGCTTGCGTAAGGACCGAGAAGCCTGGTGGTCGATGCGTGCTAATGAGCTGGAAGCAGCAGCTGCATCTGGTAACTACCGGAAGCTCTTCCAGCTCATCCGAGCCACTGGCAGCAAGAAGTCTGGTGTGAGTGAAACAATCTGCGAGGATGATGGGATGCCAATCACTAACATCCATCGACGTCTTGGACGATGGGCAGAATTTTTCGAAGGGCAGTTCAACTGGCCTGCTGCTCCGGCAACATCGGTCAGACTGTCCTGCCCTCCATGGCCGGTGACGACTGATCCACCAAACGAGGAGGAAGTCCGCAAGGAACTCCAACTCTTGAAGCGTTACAAATCACCTGGCCCAGATGACTTACCTCCGGCTCTTTTTAAAGATGGTGGTGACTTTTTGACTAAGGAATTGACGACGTTGTTTACAAAGGTTTGGGAACTAGAGAGTGTACCAACGTCATGGAATGAGTCGATAGTTGTCCCTATCTTTAAAAAGGGTTCACGTCGTTCCTGTAACAACTATCGGGGGATAAGTCTACTTCCGATTGCGTCCAAGCTATTGGCTTCCGTCATACTTCGTAGGTTGTTCAAAACCCGAGAAAGATTGACTCGCGAGGAGCAGGCTGGGTTTCGTTCTGGTCGAGGATGTATTGATCATATCTTCACCCTCCGCCAAATGTTAGAACACCGCCATACTTTTCAAAGGCCAACAATCGTAGTGTTTCTTGACATCAGGGCTGCCTTCGATTCGTTGGACAGGACTGTTCTCTGGGATTGTCTATTGAAGAAGGGTGTGCCTGAGAAGTTTATTAACATCCTAAAAGCCCTATATAAAAACACCTCAGGCAGAGTGAGGGCATACAACCACCTCTCTCCATTGTTCCATTCGAGCAGTGGGGTTAGGCAGGGTTGCCCAATCTCACCATTCCTCTTCAACTTTGCCATCGATGACATTCTGGAAACAGCTCTGATGAATGTAAGTAATGGTGGTGTGGATCTGTTGCCTGGAGAAAGACTTCTCGACCTTGAGTATGCGGACGATATTGTCTTACTGTGCGATAATGCCCAAGGCATGCAATCCGCACTTAATCAGTTGGCAATCAGTGTCCGTAGGTATGGTATGTGCTTTGCACCTTCGAAGTGCAAAGTACTTCTACAAGACTGGCAGGATTCTAATCCTGTACTCACCCTGGATGGTGAGCAGATAGACGTAGTCGAGAAGTTCGTGTATCTGGGTAGCTGCATAAGTGCTGGTGGGGGTGTGAGTGATGAGATCAATGCACGAATAGTGAAAGCCAGAGCGGCTTATGCCAATCTGGGCCACCTTTGGCGCCTTCGTGATGTTAGTCTGGCTGTAAAAGGTCGGATCTACAACGCGTCGGTGAGAGCAGTTTTGCTCTATGCTTGTGAAACCTGGCCTCTCCGAGTTGAGGACGTTAGACGACTCTCTGTGTTCGATCATCGCTGTCTCCGAAGGATTGCTGACATTCAGTGGCAACACCATGTCAGTAATGCAGAGGTTCGGCATCGTGTGTTCGGGCACAGAGATGATAATTCAATTGGTGTCACCATCTTGAAACACCGACTTCGGTGGCTTGGACATGTTCTCCGAATGTCGTCCCAGAGAATTCCACGTCGTGCATTATTTGCCGACTCTGGGACTGGTTGGAAGAAGCGGAGAGGTGGTCAGTGCATGACATGGTGTCGTGGCATGAAAGAAAGCTGCAAAGGACTGGCTTGTGTTGGTCCTTCACGACTCCCTGGTTGGGGTCTGAGAGATGGTGCTACACAGTGGCTAGAGACGTTATCAGATATGGCTCAGAATAGAAGCCAGTGGCGATCCTGCTGTAACCTTCTTTTACTTTCTTCATAAAAAGTGGTTGTGTCTCCCTTACCTGAAAGATTTCTTCTGATTGTACCCTTCTGTTCCCCTACTATTACTATTATTATTACACTACCTTACACCAATCTCTTCGTTATTGCTTTTTTTGTACGTTCCCCACTCTTTTTTCTTGTTCTTCTCAAATTCTCATTGTTTTGTGTGGCGCATATATATTTGGCGCACTCCTGTGACAATATATATGTGTGCAAATAAATAAATAAATAAATATACGATTGTATTCATCCTAGGCCTCAAAAACATTAGTCCCGTCTAAAACTATGAGCATTCATTACGAAATTATTGGTATGGAATACTTGTTTCACTCATTTTGCACTTTTCTATTTTATTCAGTATAACCGTAAAACGTTAGCCTACAACTATACACGATAATATAAAAGGATCAAATAACTTGAAATACACGCGAATCAGTATTTAGAAGCGATAAACACGTATGACTTAATATCTCGTTTGATTTTTTTTATGACTGGCTTATAATGACTAGCAACCAGATGCTTGTATAAACGAACCATGTGATTACAAAAATCTCACTAAAGTAACTAAAACCACAATATGAATTATCCCTTTTTATTAAATTTGAAAAGGAAATTGACAGCTAATAATGTAACCTTGTTTTATTTTACAGGCCAAAAATACTCTCCTCTGAGATGACGATAATGCATAACAATTCTAATAAAAAAAATATTAATCGAAGAAGACTACTAGAAGAGTATACTCATAACTAAAGCAATTGTTATTCAAGCAGTTAGAAAGTTTAACATGTCAATTTGCAGTTAACATATTACTATATTTACCGAATTAATACTAATATTGACCCTAAGTGACTACTGTTTAGAAGCTTCTATATAACAGTATTTTAATCGAATCGCCTATTCTTAATGTATTGACAATAATTTACTGAAATATAACAGTGATCATGAGCTACTGTAACAGAACGTTTTTATTTATGCAAGATAAGAGGAATAATCACAAATGGGATTTATGTATAAAATGAAGTACCTGCAAATCATATTTTTTCAATATTGGAGGACGATGAGGTGGAAGAAAGTTGGGTGGTAATGATTCAGTTGTAACATTCAGAATAGAACCGTTAATTTTCCTAGCCGAAAAGCGTTCTAATGACTCATTTCTTGACGGCGAAATCGATTTGGAAGATGAATTATTTAAATGTTTCATAGGTAAGAAAGCAGGTTTTTGAGTATGTAATACATTTTGTTGTGAAAGTTTTGATGAACTGACTATATGTTGTCGGTGTTCAAACGCGTTTAGACTATGAAGAGATGAAGTGAGTAGTAATCTGTATACACGGGACTGATTACTGGTAGATACAGCATGCCTTTTAATCCAACCCTAAAACGTCAGATAAACGACTATATAAAGGATGTCTTATGAAAATAAAGATGAGTGATTAAGGAAAAAGCGCGAAATTCAAGGAGAACAGATGAATCCTAATATTCGCAGTTATCAATTAATTGTTCAGTTATTTATATACAAAGTAGAACATGACACTGTTTATATCGCTTCAAGTTGATATAATCCATTAGCACGAGACCAATGTGTTAGGGAAAGTCCCACAGTAGTAGAGGTAGTAACAGTATTAGTGGTAATAGAAAATGGTATCTCAATTACATCATAAGTGGAAAAGCTGATGAGCTTTCTTGATTCGTGCTGAGATTTTGTCAGACACCACCCGCTGAGTGATAAGACTTCTAAGATAAGTGAAGTGATCGACGCGCTCAACAAATTCACTCATTAGCATTGGTTCAGGCGTGGACCGAAACCATACCTGGAGTAACACTTTGGATTTAGGAGGAAAACGCATCCTGATACGGTTGTTACTCAAGGTAATCAGAATAAAGCTTTTTTTAGCCTGTTCATTAAACAGGACTATATCATCTGCATATTCCAAGTCAATAAGTGAATTTTCTGGTAGAAGACTGATTCCTGACAAATCAAATCATAAAATTTCCATCTCGAAAAAGAATTTCTGTGACAAATCTCAATAAAAGTGAGGAAAGTAGACAACCCCGATGAATACCACGTGAAGTAATAAATTTCAGAGACACTTTGTTATATGTTCTCACCCGACCAGTAATGTTCGAGTATAAGAATTTCAATGATAAACTTTGACATAAGACTTAATAATTTACGGAGTCGACAAATAAAACTGAGGATGAGGGTCGGTAGATATGTCTGTTTCAGAAAATGACAGAAGGGAAATATCTGGTCTACATATCCCTACCAGGGTCTGAGACCAGCCTGTTTTTTTCCGAATTCGCACTTCACAAGCCCTAATTGAACGTTGGATGACTATTGAGGCTAATGCTTTAGAAATTATATTAGTTAAACTGATTGTTTTGTGGTTATCACAAGGAGAGTGTTGTAGTTTATTGTGGGCTGGCAAGACCAGAGATCGAAACCAGTCAGATGGGATTACGTTCATATCCCAGACCCTATCTAAGATATATAAATTCGGTCAGTTCATTACGATAGACAAGCCCGACCACCACTTCGAGGTAGCGAATACTATAGAAGAATGGATTGAATGAGTTTTTATATTATATTAATATCTATCATAATAGTTGTAAAAAGGTTTCTTTTAAGTCCAATGTTGACAACAGCGGAGTAGGAAAATTGCAATTTAGGATAAGGAAAAACAGTAGGACTGGCATGTCATTCATAACCCCCTTTAGTAACGTTTACACTGACGACTAGTATTTGAAATTTGTAGGAATAACGTAAGTCCACATGAGAAATATGAACAACGATGATTGCAGACTAACATTTATAAGCAGTAAAAAAAAATTGGATGAAATATGAATAACAAAGAAAAAGCAAAAACATATGAACAAGCTTTCAGTTCATATCTACAGAGTAATAACAATAAATCAGAATGGCAACTAACTTGAAAAATTTGTCTAGAATCCGTAAGTAAGGAATTCTCTGCGCAACTCATGTTTTTATTAGGACCACAGTTGTTAGTAGAATGGTTAGTTGGAAATTTTCCAGAAAATAGAAATTCATTATTTGAGGCGTTCTGCAGTGAATTATCATTTGTTAAAACATCTTCTTGTGTAGGTGGAATATTTAATAAAAGACGTCGCCCAGTTGGAAAATGTGGCACAGATGACCATAGCCTGGGATAACCAAAAGCTAATTTTTGAAAAACAGAAAAGGTAATAAACTAAACACCGAGAAGTCGTAAAAACGACCAACGAAATCCATTATTAAATAGTTGACGACAAGAAATAACTGCATCCAGAAGAACAAGCTTAACAGATTGTAATGATTTAAGGACAAGGGGTAACGATTGAAATCAAGTTTTCACCCAGTGATATTATTATAACACTTTCCAATACCCTTGGATATTATAGAGTACGCAAAAAGCGATTCAGGAAAAAAATGATAGTCAGACCAAACTGGAAAAGAATCGTAGACAATTCAGTAACGAAAATTTTCTTTTCAATGATTTCATTTACTTAAATACAGGATGATCCTTCCTCTTGTCTGAAGTTGAGCGCATCCGGAATAACTTAGCTAGAAGACAAATCGTTCACGCCAGCAACTAGAGCGAATCGTTGATATATATTATTGAGACGAATTTTTAGTAAAATTCTTATTCCCGCTAGAAAATAGTACAGAATTCAAGTTGCTATACTGTTCCGAAGAATGTGTGATGACACAGGGCAGTTGAATTTCACGTAGATGTATCATTACCATCTAGTTTGTGAAGCTTACAGTTATTTTGCTTGATTATACGTTTGACCGCACTGCTGAATACTTATACTTGATAAATCGCTATTAACATCTACTCGTTTCTTCTTTCGGTCATTTATGCTATGCATATTATCTTATTGTATTACGACTAGACCTATTTCCAGCTCCCAGGTCAACATCCAAACCATTACGCAACTATTTTGTTGAGATTTTTAACACTTAGTTAATGATGTAACCCCTATTTTACAACATCCTACTAATTGTGTCAGATAACTGCTAATGACTCCACAGCTTTAGATAACAACACAATCGAATGGAAATTTTCTTGCGCCACATCGTTTATATGCGGACATATCATTCCAACTGGCGATCTTTTAAGTGATAGGATGGTATTGCAAATTTGGTTTATATATATATGAAAAATATGAAGAAAATTTACGAAGGTTTTGATAGTTTTACAAATATAATTTCTATAACAAATTACATACACATTTCTAATAGAGGTTACAAACAATTTATTTTTAGAAATAAAAATTACCAAATTTTCCAGCAGCAAGGGAGCCACCATAAGACATGCTATGTGAAGATACGAATCCTAATCCAGAATATAAATCTGATAAAGGAACTATATTCACGGCTAACAGACCGCACATAACCAATAAACTTGTGGTAGCAATTACTTTAGATCGATGACTGACGGTAGGAACGATTCGCTGAGGAGAAATCAAGGTTTTAGTAATTGATTTGAGTTGAGACTGATGTGATAGACACTGTGAATGCGATTCAACATCAACTTTACTTGTAAGTAACAATTTCTTCGAAGAACTATCCCATTTGAACGTTCTTGGGGAACTTACACTCGTAAAGTAGGCTGAAACAAGAATTAGGGAAAAAAGATGTGACTTTCAACGTAATACAATACCCGGACATTATACATATCTATGAATATAACTGATTGTAGGTAGATGTAACATTATTACTTCAATATTTCTGCGGAATGAATGAATGAATGAATGAATGAATATATATATATATATATATATATATATATATATATATATATATATATATATATATATATATCACCTATACACAGTGGACGGTGAATGCTCCTCCATCAACAGCAGTCTTAAATAGTGATATTGCGCTGACGTACTCTTTATTGATATAGATTTTCTAATAAGTAAGCCAAAATCGCACAAACAAATTACTTTCCCGAATTGTGTTTACAGGTAAATCTAATCTGGATAAAAAATGTTGGCAGGTATGAAATATCGGTTAATATGCTATGTGTGTGATGTGATGAACTCCAAGGTAATTTGAAGGAGGCTATTTTGGATGTTATAGTGCTTCTTAATCACCGAAGGCACGAAGTAAGTGTCTTAAAGTTAAATAATAAACAAAATAAGATCACTAAAAGCTTTTATATGGAAAATGTCCGTGGAAATAAAATCTGATTCTTTAAATAGTAAAACTTACTCGTTTTTTGAGTGGGAGCTACGTTTTGGCAATTTTTTAAATGCTGAATTGAAACTGTCTTGCTTTTTCCAAGATCAGACAACCTTGGAAGACGACTAAGTGGAGTATCTGATTTGAAACCAACAGTGACTTCATTGAGTGGTGCTAATGTGTGCACAGAAACTGTTTTGCCACAAGCCTCTCGAGGAGTAATTTGTTTGTCAAGGTGTGAAGAAATATTTGTCGTCTCTTCTGAACTTACGTCAAACGACTGAGACTTAACAGTTAGGTTTTCTGAATTTATAGAGCTTGGAAGCCGTGACTGTAAATCTTCAATACAACGTTCCAAACGGAAACATCGTGCACGCCACTCTTCATTCTGGCGCCAAAGTAAAAGGTTTTCACGTTTTAGCTGCTCGAACCTCATTTCTAACCTTTCTAGGTACTAAAAACAGAAGGTGGATGGGCATCCATGACTGAAATTCGGGTGCATAAACAATGGGCTTGTTTATAATTAAAAAAGACGATAAAATGGAAATCATGATTTTGAGTTCCAATCTGGTACAAAACGGTTTCACAAAATGACGTTCCAAAATGACAAGCAATGCATCTAAAAATTTTCCAGTCTTTAGCTAGCGCAATTAAGTGGTCTTCATTATGTCAAATTCCTCCACTGTGACGAAGTGGAGATCACGTAAATTACAATGAGAAGTGAAATATAGGAAATATAATTTGAAAGGAAGGAATAAAATCGAAAGATAGGAAATACAGAATGAGACTAAACTAAGAATTTGAACAAAAAACGATAGGAATGCAACAGCTCCACCGTAACTGATAACCAGTATGGTTACCTAACTTAAATAAATCCTGGTACAATGAGGTGTCAAAATAATGCACCATCCGAATGTGTCGGGGATGTTAGATCCCCAGAACTCACTTAGTAAAAGTCTTATTTTTGTAATTTTATTTTGGAAATCCAAATTTCTAGTTTTCGCACTAAAGGTGTCCATTTTTACCTTCAGATTGTATTACCCACTTAGGAGGACCCTAAATGTGATTGGTTGGTTTTCTCTTTAAACATGTTATTTTGTGACGTTTCCCAGGGAGATTTCTATGCTGTATATATACGCTTGAGTTGTGCGCTTGTTTTTGTTCGTGCTTCTAACTGCTTGTAGAATATACTTTTCCTCATCTGAACCTAAACTCCTCCCTCTAGTTAGCGGGGCTGGGACGCATTGGAATAACCAAGCCGTCTTGTCATTGTGTCGCTGATTCTTCGTTCCGTTCGCTGATTTTATAATCTCTTTAGAAATAGCAAAATGAAGTGATAATATTGTGAAATAAGAGTGATACTTTCATGAAATAAGCTACTAATGTGCAACTGAAACTTCAATAAGGTGAAAGAAACTACTTTTACCCTCTTTTTCCCTTTTCCCCAACAGGGGTATGAAGTATAGTTTGTATAGAAACTTTCTTGAATGATACCCCAGAAGCATTAATCTACATTCCAGTTAATTCAACCACATATCGACGCAATAAATATCAACTATAGGATTTCCCCAAATGAGTAATTGTTATTGAACATAGAATCGCAGTGAATTAATTACGACAAGGAAAAATGGATTGGGAATCAACTAACTAATTATGACCTAAAATACACTGAAAATGCATGCATAGAATACATTGTGGATAATTCAGCACAGCTAAGATACGTTGAAGTTGAGTATACGAAAATCACCATAAACTGATAGTCAGTCAGTCGGTTAATAACAAAGTAGAACTTCGTACGTACTTACATCAGTTCAAGTTACCATACCATATTAGCACAGAGACAAGATTGTCTATTCAAATCCCATAGTGGTAGAGGTAGTAAAAGTTTAAGCCGTCATTGGAAAGATCAGGGTTTGAAGATGTTATTCAAGGAGTATAATCCAGTGAAATAAGTTTGGAAAGAGAAAAAAGGGACATGAAGAATTCAAAAGATTAGGATTTGGGAGAACACAAAGAGTGGATGCACTTGCGCCATCGCAGACAATTTTGAGCCATGTCATTCGAGGTCTCTAACCATCGGTTGCTACCGTCTCGCGGATCCCAACCAAGTAGTCTACAACTACCAACACGGTTCAGTCCACTTGTCAGTGACTTCATGGATTTGTGCCATGTTTTGGTCTGACCGCCCCTAAATTTCTTTCAGCCTATTCCTACACCATAAAACATCGCTCGTCGGGACAGTCGGTGGTCAAACATACGTAACACGTATCCCAACCATCTCAACTGATTAAGTTTCACTAAGTCATCAATTGATTTGCCATCCTTACCTAGTACCCGTTTCCTAACAACTACATTACTTACTCGATGGTCCCACGATATACGAACAATATTTCGAAGACACCTATGAACAAATACTAGTAACCTACGGATATCCTCTACTCTTACCGGCCATGTTTCACTGCCATAAAGTAGGACGGAACAAACTGATGCACAGTAAACACGTCCTTTGGTTGATAGACGGATATCTCGCCTACGCCATAAATGACGCAAGTTGGTAAAAGCTAGTCGAGCCTTCTATATCCGTGCTGAGATTTCGTCACACACCAGACCACAAGGGCTGACGAGACTTCCAAGATAAGTGAAGCGGTCGACACACTCAACTACTTCACTCCCTATCATTAGTTCAGGTGTCGATGCAACCCAATCCTGAAGCAACATTTTGCATTTCGAGGGGGAGTATCGCATCCCGAACATGCTTGCATTGTTGCTTAGGGTGGTCAGAAGACTCTGTATTTTGTCAGCGTCTTCACCAAATAGAACTATGTCATCGATATTCTAAGTCAACAAGTGAATCTCCCGGTAAAAGTACAACTCCTGGAAATTTAGATGAGGAAAATGTTATCTCTAAAAGCACGTCAACGACAAAGTTAAACAAGAATGGTGAGAGTGGACAGCCCTGACGAACACCACTTGAGGTGATCAATTCTGATGACAGTTCGCCATAAGCTCTCAATCGACTAGTTGCGTTCGAATAGAGACCTTTATAAGGTTAATGTACTTCTTTCAGTGTCAAACTCTGCCATAGAACCTTGCGATCAACAGAGTCGAATGCTGCTTTAAGGTCGAGAAACACTACCATTGTGGGGCGTCTGAATATGTGTCTGTGTTCTAGGACCCGAAGTAGTGTGAATATCTGGTCTATACAACCACGTTCAAGTCGAAAACCAGCCTGGTTTTCTCTAGTCTGCTCTCAACGAGCTTTAGTTAGGCGTCAAAGTATTATTGAAGCTAATATTTTAGACACTATATTAGTTAAACTGACTCCTCTGTAATTGTCACAAGAGGACCTTTGTCCTTTCTTATGGACTAGCACAATCAGTGATTGAGACCAGTTAGATGGGATTACGTCCAATTCCCAAATTCTACCTAAGACCTCAGTTAATCTCACTGCTAATACTGGACCACCATCCTTAAAAATCTCAGCAGTAAACCTGTCAGGGTCTGCTGCTATCCCTCGCTTCAGATTTCCTATGGCTTTTTCAACTTCGTAAAGAGACGGAGGACCTACATTAACTTGCCATTCAGGTTGACTGGAGATCGTGGGAAACCGAAGTGTGGCTGAAGGCCAGTTGAACTGATCCCTAAAGTGTTCTGCCCATCGATCCAGTCACCTGAATTGAAAGTGAATAATATGTACGTCTTTTCCTGATATATTTTCGCTAACAATTGGATTCCTAATACCAATTTCCTTGACAAGTCTGAACAGTTGTCTGTTGTTACCTATTGCCGCTGCCTTTTTCATCACTCTTGCTTTCGCTACTCATCAGTGTTCGCGATCACTGCGTAGGCATCTGGATTAAAAGTATAGTCATCGAGGCACTATAAAAATATCAAAAGAAGCAGTGGCATGGTGGTCTGTGACCGGAATAAGCTTGTACACTACTCGTTCATTTAGGACCCTAAAAATTATGTACACCACTGACTTGGAAAAATGGTTTTTCAATTATTGTAGGCGGACCCTTATATTCATCAGCCCAGTTTGAGCACAATGCATTTTTGGATTCATAAAAATTACTAGTTTTGCGAAACCGTTCCAGCCATAATAACTAGAACTGATAATTACTTAGAAGTGGCAATGATCAGTAGGATTAAAATCCGAACACACTCAAATTATCTGGAATTTCAATACTATAAAGTATAAACATAGTACAAGGTGAATTACCTCCTTCTTACGTAACCGGCTTAGACATGCTGCTTGTCTATTTTTCACCATTCTTTCTTGCTTTTTACGTATGCGTTCCAAGTCGGTCTGGGTTATGATGGATTCGTTAGGTCCCGAAAAATCTTGCACATCAAGAAATGACGTTGGTGAGAATTGAGAACTACTCCCGAAAACAGAATCAGGATATGATGTGCTCGGGATATTTTTCTGTATAAAAATAAGTGATGAGGAGCCCTGATGAATACAAGGAAATAACTACAGTAAAGAGAATATAAGTGTATATCTTGCAAACAGACACCACACAAGGATTTCGTCCAAATCATAGATCAACTTCGACTTACATAGTCATAGCAACCGTTAACTAGTAGCGTTGATAGGATTACTTTATTGTCAGTACTGTAAAAGAACGGTGTGAAGAAATAGATGTTCACCTAAGCATGAGCTTTCAGTAACTACTTGATTATTTCTACGAACTTAAAGACGAACTAACTAGATCTATGTTAATGAATTTTTGAGTAATCTATGTTAGTGTCGAAACTCTTTACTACCAATTACCTTAGTTGGTAGTGATACAAGACCAAACATCAGAAAATGATTAATGGATCTGTGGACAACTATTACCAGAAATTCAATATTAGCTTTGTTCACTGAAATAAACAGATGAAATAAATATTGAAATATAATACTTTTGGCCAAGAGTAAACATCTGGAAATTTGCATGGAAAAATGGACACTATTCACACAAGCACATACATTTGGGAACTAACTTCCAAGATAAATCTGATAAAATAGAAAATGTAAGCTATCAATAAGTATATCAGTGGTAATTATAATAGTCACATAAATTAAAACCTGTTTACCAGTTTTCCGGTATAACTACAAATTCCACACCAGAATCACCTAAAATTCTACTGAAAATAGTCTGAAAACTTTTACAAACCAACAAATATCAAACTTTAAACATATTACCAGTCACGAAAATCATATTATTGCGTAATCAACTCTCGGGAATTTATAGCTATCACTTTAAACTGACAGAACTGTAAAACGTTTGAAGTTGCTAAGACTTATCCAACTAAAAACTACTGTCATTTAGTTTAAAATCTCTACTGACAAACCAGCAGAATAGTAATTATAAAATAGCTGTTATATAAACTTAGTCTATATTCACACTCGCTAAGAGATGAAATTAAACAACACCGAAGCTATCTACATTTGTTAAGTTATAAGCAATTTATTTATCTTACTAAACTAGATTTGGATTTTAAAAAGCTTGGTGCTGATGATATTTCGTTTTAGGGTTGAAGAACACATGGTAGCAAGTAAACAAAAAGATAAGATAGAACTAAATTGTAATATGTCGATTCGAAGTAACATAGTTTACGGATGCCATGCATTATCGCACGTTTCCAATTTCATAAGAAAACGAAGTGAGAGGTCGTATGAATATATTTCGACAACTGCAGTTTTTCAATACACAGAAATACTTAAGTAACAATAAATGTAACATGCTAAATATTAAGTTAGCCAACAAGAAATTTGGAAAAAATGCATTTTTATCTCTTTCCTTGAATTTCTTAACTACAAGTTTCTATATTAAAACAGTAGAGCTTCGAGAGGGCATAACTAAAATGTCTTTCCCCTAAACAATTTTAATATTGAATATTTCAAATTTACTAAAAGTAACAAACTGTAAAAAATGGAAAACTTACTGAATGCTGCCATAGTGAAGGATCTGAAGGAGTCGGGTTTCTACAGTATTCATAAATTTCAGTTACCCCACTTACTGCAGAAAAAAACTCATCTAATGCTTATAAGAAAAGATAATAGTACATGTTAAGTATTTTAAACAGAATAGCGTAGCTAGTCGTCTGGTAAATAGAAAACCTTAAGGACGGGGTTAAATAACCATTACAACTACGTATGCATTGCCTGATTTCCGACAGAGACATCTTGTAAAATATTCATATGATGCTTAGGTTTCCCCTTTAACTGACTCACAATAACATAACGCAAAAACAAGTGGACTTGACAAAATTGCGTCTAGGCCATTTGTGAAAATTATAAAATTTTCAGTTTAAATCATGAACTGGTTATAACCAGACTACTACTGAGTTAATGAAAGCAATGAACAGCCATTTCGTCGTGACATGGGACTCCTAAGCAGTTCGCATCTACAACCACGTATCTGGGATCCCAGCCCAGGACCTGTGGTCTTGCGTGTGAACGATCAACCTCTAGAACAACCAGCCAGCTTCAGAATACAAATCGAGGAGTTCTAGTGCGGAGAGGTGAACAGTGAAGTTTAACCGTGCCGGGTGTAAGATATTTAATAACCGCAGGTAATGAATAAGGGTTGGGCAGAATCGTGATTTGACTGAAGTTAAACGTTAATACCCCCAAATGCCCTGGTATGGCTCCAGTATCCTGCGGGAACAAATGGCGTATGAACCAATTGTTGGTCACTGGCTTCCATGGGACTCCATCTCCTCACGATGCCCCACTGCCTTGTGGGTCAGACCTTTAGGTCAAAGGTTCGGGGTGTGGCCCCCCTATGGAAACCACCTGCTTCGAACTGGGCACCCGGGCAGTATCACAGCCTTCACACATATCGGATGAGATTTGTGTGGCGCATATGTATTTTGTGCCTATTTGTACCAATATCTATGTGTTGAAATAAATAAATAAATAAACTTATGTACATCGGTTCAATTCGCCGTACACCATTAGTACACCGAGATGAAATGGTCAGGTCGAATCCCAGAATAGTAGAGGTAGTAACAGTATCAATGGTAATTGGAAACATTCGGTATCGAAAAAACAACTCGAAAATATAACTTAGTGAAATAAGAACAAATAAGGTTCTGAGGAATTTAGAATCTTACAATTTGGGTGGACGGAAAATGGATCCACTTGCGTCATTGCAAGCGACTTTGAGCCATGTCATTTAAAGTTTCTATCCATTAGTTGTGATAATTACGCGGACCCCAACAAGGTTTTTTGTGCCTATTAACGTATCTAAATCCAACTGTCAGTGGCTTCGTAGACTGATGCCTTGGTTTGGCCACTCCTAGTTGAGCTCCAGCCCCAGCATTTCGAGAGGGAGAGCGGACTCTCCCCACTCGGCCGTACCAGGGCATTTGGGGGCATGTACATAAGTACAGGCTCTGCGTTGTGACTGACCGACTAACTGGAGCTTAAGGGCAAATCCAAAGAAAAAGGACATATTGGAGTATTCACTTTATAGGATTTTTGAATACATAGGTACTGATCAGCATTCAAATGTACATAAATTTCGTGTCTTGTAGGTGGGATTTCACTCTGCTGCTCTCAAGGTTTTGAGATAGTGTTGACCACTTACTGATTTTATTCGTTGTACATTCTAGGTGGATCAATCCTTTTACAATGGAAAGTATGTGAATCAGTAACCCTACATCTTCAGTTACATGAATACCAGACGACTAATTAGGACTTAGGACAGAAAACAACGGATATAATTGGACTCGAACCAAATACACATTAACTAAATTTCTTACAGCTTATCGAGTGGGAGGGTATGAGATATTGTTTATTCCTTATTTAAAAGTAAAATGGCTTGTTAAGGACATTTTATTCAGTATATATATATATATGCATTGGGGAAACTGAGATCGATCAGTCCCTCTGAAACTCTTTACCAGGTTTAACTTTTTGGTATTTCATAAGCACCAGTATGGGTTCACAAGATCCATATTAAGTTTGTTAAAACACGTCATGTATCAAACAAGATGTAATTCGTCCATAAAATGGTGAGTTAATTTTATTAAAACTTGCTCTTAGTTACTTAGGGAGTTTGAATCGTGACCTTAGAAATCAAAGGCACATTTAAATTATAAGCGACTTGTTTTAGATGTTTTTAAAGCATTCTTTGTATAAAACAATATTATCGCCCTAAATTCTAGGCAAAATATTTTATCCATGTCCTGCATAGAACTTACAACGGCAATCCATGCTTGATTTAGTAGGTGAATTCACAGATCCCGGAGATGTGTTTGAGGACTCAAACGACGGAGTAACACTAGAAGGCACCGTTTTTACTGTGACACCAGAATGCTCCGACGGCTGCAATACACTTGGTACAGCCAAATTGTGACCAACACCAGAATTTACGCTCTGAGGATAGAAAGCTGAAAAGTATGGCTTTGCCAAAGAGCTGTGTAGTAGACGTTTTTCACCAACAGAGTTGATAATAATCCTTTTAAATTTAGGAATAGTAGAGTTAGAGCCCGGTCTATTGATAGGTATGCTCTTTGACAAACCATTCAACTGAACCCCACAATGTTTGTCATTTGCATGCAAAATGTCGGACACACGTGTTGTAGCATCGACAACATCAGTCAGAACATAATCAGTACAGTGTCGTTGGGTCGTACATTAGTTTCTTGGTTTATTGGTTGCTTTTCCCCTGCAACTGTTTAAAGACATGACTATCATAAAAACAGACAAACCGCTTATTCCACTATCACTGTCTGAGTTTTCGAGGAGCTCTGAAGCTTTTAATGCAAAGTCGAATTCACCCATATCAATATCGTTAGACTGGGCGAAGGATTATACAAAACATCAAAATTACCAAGTCCACTGACTGCAGAAACATATCCATGGCATCTTCAAGACCCACTATTAAAAATAAAAATTTTAGAGGTACATAACTTACACAGACTATCACAAGACATGTTCGGCAAGGGAAAAAACACCCGACTCAACGTCAAGATTCAATCTTTGCGCGTGAAGAGCAACCTACAACAAACTCACATCTTCAATGCATACAAAGGGATGCTCATTTAGGCTCAGAAATATAAAAAAGAAAGGCAGACCGGCACACGCCTCAGGGCTTTGAAGTTTTACTTTAACTCTTTGGCTTCGAAACTACTGTGCGTGATAAGTGGTATTGTAAAACACAATATTAGGTAAGAGCATCGTATGTATTGTGAGAGGTTACAAAGCATTTACGTGATACATATACATAACCTTTGATCGTCTATTTGCATGTTACGGCGGTTTCTGATGTCTGAACTTTCTTCACGACTACCCTCCAAGTGCTCTGCGACATCCTTGTGAGTAGCGTCTACTACAGTATCACAAAGTGTGTAACGGAATCATACCAGTCACATATAAGCGATATTGCTAACCACCGTCATGTCAGCTATGCAAAGCATACATGAAGACCCAGATGGAACTGTCACCGTTTCAAGTAGTTCCAGTGTGGCTGCCTAGAATGACGAGAAGTGGACGACAGTGTGAAAACAAATGAATGAGTGAAAGAAACCAAGAACAGTGTCTGTTCCTTTGATAAGTCATTGATGGACTCCAACTCTGGGTCACAGAATGCACCACCAAAGTCCCAAAGCAAGACTGCATTTAACTCAAAGTGGCTGGAGAAAGCTTGATCTCATCGAATATTATTGCAAGTAATTTGTTGGAACAAAATGGTCCTGATTCACATGCTCATGATTTAGAAAGGGTCAGAGCAATGATTCGTAGCATCTCACCAGATAACTCTAAATGAGTTCATATCAAATAGTTGGTCATAGTGTGTAAAGGGACCAACGACAATGTTGGACTTCGACCATATAGACTCCTCAAGATAATCCTAGGGTTAGAGGAACAACGACTTCTTTCGTATATTAGGGCTCGGATTCACAAAAACATCGACAATTGAGGAAGATCGACATGTCTCTGGCAGACAGAATAAAAAAGATGGAACTAGCTAAACTAGGGTGGGTATGTCATTCTCTCTAGAAGTCTTATATAACAGTGCTTGTGGTTTAGAAAAGAGTTTTCAATCTGCTTACTCGACGACTTTTTCTCAGAGCACGTTCAACAATAGATTAAAAACAACAGATGCCTGACATTAGGATATTTTAATGCTCCTGATATTAGTTGGACAGATAGGGTCGTAGTAAGATCTGAAACTCTCTTCATAGTAGGCTCCTGATGACGGTATTAGAACATGCTTTACTACAGCATGTATCCGAACTCACACATCTTGGTTCATACCAAGCATCTTCTGTTTGAGACTGAATGAACATTATGCGACGGAAGAAATCTAAATTGGATAGGAGAGTTTTCGGCAGGTCGTAAACATGAAGTAAAAATGAATGCCAAACCCTCACATTGGAATGCAGCAATTGGTAGAGTATCAATAGGTTATGTTCTAGGTCATTTACCTTTTACACCATGTTTAAAGGAACTCCCGAGTATGGTTAAATCCCTGGTGCTGTGTTGTACTGATGGTGTTGAAATTTGCCAAGGAGTAACGAAGTACGCAGATGTATGTACACTCCAGGCTAACAAAGACTATCAGGTAGGCTGGTCTGAAAGTTGGTTTGTGTCTATCTAAGTAACTAAGTGTGTCTATGTGTACACCGAAGATGCGAAGATAAACTGCTACTTCACGTGTCTGACGTTGGTAACATTAGATCTGTTTCACGAGAATCTGAATATGACAGTAAACCACGATCTAAGACCTGGAACAACCTAGGTCGGTTGGTTAATAGTTGGGCCCAAATATCTTAGAAATGTCAGAACATTACAGCACAAGTATTCACTCACTTCCTTCTTTTGTGTAGGGATTATACTTCCCATTATTTTATGTTGAATGTCGAAAGACTATGTGTGTTTGAAAAAGATAACCTCCCAACTGTTCTGTTCCATAAACTAGACAAAACATAAGTCTCACTATAAAGTGGTATAATTCTTCTCACATATGAATGTAAATAATATTGATTAGACTCGTATTGTAAATATGACAATCGGCGCGCTTTGTGGATGTTGCGTTGCGACGTGCAACTGATGGTCTGGCGGCCTGCTTGAATATCTGGGCTACCTGTTTCTGCCATCTGATTTTTTCAACAAGTTATCTGTTTTTTATTTGTTTTAATTTATAATTATGTCCATTAATCGCATAACCTATTCAGGCGCTTTTATGAAAAGCCTACGACCTTTCGCTGCACAAGTTACGAAAAAGTACTATAAAAGGCATCGTGGTGGTTGGCAATATGCGTTAAAGAGAATGAACATTAATCGTATGTCGATTCCCGAGCTACTAAATTCTAACTGCCGATCACTAATCAACAAAGTGGACTATCTGCAATTCCTGCTTAGTCAAAATACGTATCGTAATTGTGGTGTCATCACAATTCAAGAATCTTGGTTGAATGATTTACAGGATGACTGCCTTGTATCACTACATGATTTCAAAATTTATCGTCAGGATCGATCGAACAATAAAAAGAGGTGTGGTGGCGGTGTAGCTACGTTTGTAAACATAAACTGGTGTCGATCTTCGTTTGTGTGTTTTAAGTTTTCAAATGACTTTATCGACTGTCTAACTCTAAGATGTCGTCCAAAACATCTGAATAAATACAAATATGTTTATGTTACCAATATCTACGTCACTCCAGATTGCACATCATCTGCACTATCTTTTTTTGCTGATGAATTCACTGAGTTCGCTGTTACTGCCTTCAGTGATTCACTTTCAGTTGTATGTGGTGATTTCAATTCATGTGACTGTAGCTTCCTTACGTCACTAGGTCACCAAAATGTAGTGGATTTTCCTACCCGTTTGGATGCTAATCTAGACTTCGTCTTCATTAATGATGTGGGTATATATGCGACTCGTAAACGTGCTCCATTGTCTAGCTCAGATCACTGTATAATTCGTGTTCTACCTAAAGTATATGGAAAGCATGGGAAGAGTACACTCTTACATCAAACCAAGAAAGTCAAATATAGGAATTACTCAGAAGAAAATATCCGAAATCTGAAAAACATGTTTCATACGACTAACTGGGAATTATTTACAGATGACTCACTCGAAAACACTACTGATGTTATCACTTGTTACCTTAAATTCTGTTTTGATATTTGTTGTCCCACTGAAACCATTTTTGTAAGTTTTGATCGACTTACATCTTCACAACTAAAACGACTACGGAGGATGAAAGAAAGAATGTACAAGGAGAAGAACTCAAATGAAGTTCGTAAGCTAAATGGTCTGATAAACCTAGAGATTAGACGTCTCAACTGTATGTTTACTCAAAAACTCTTATCTTGCAAAAACTCTCCAAGTATGTGGAAATTCTTTAAAGAACTTACAGGTGACAGAAAGTTTAGAAGCGATAACCAGCTGAATGTTTGTGACTTAAATAAGTCTTTTGTACGTCAGTCATCTGATGTGATGCTCCCTCTATCCACGGGTTTAAAAAATAGCTGTGTTCCTACTTTCACTGAAACTGATGTACGAGGATGTCTCCAGTCGCTTAATTCATCTCGATGTTTGGGACCTGATGGTATCCCAAACATCCTTTTTAAAAAATGTGCTGACGTTCTGTGTCATCCGTTCACAACTATATTTAACAGATCCTTCTCATCTAATCTCATACCGAAAATGTGGAGAAAGATGAAGATAATTCCTGTACCCAAGAAAGCATTTGGTGATAAGAATGTAAAATTTAGACCTATTGCAATAACTTCACCCTTCCTCAAAACCATGGAAAAATTATTAATACTTCCACTTCAGCCTGCGATAAAAGAGCATACTGACCCATACCAGTTTGCATACAGGCGCAAAAGAAGCACTTTAGATGCTGTTGCAGTTCTGCATCACAACATAGTGTTCAACTTAGAAAAGGGTAAGAAGTATGTTCGATGTGCTTTTCTGGACTATACTTCAGCTTTTGACTCTATACCAAGACAACGTTTACTTAACAAGTTAATCAGCGTCAACACTGACAGCTGGATAACCAACTGGCTATGTTCCTACCTCTCTGGAAGGGAACAGTACACTGTGTTTGGAGGAAAGTGTTCAGATTCTCTACTGTCTCAGGAAGGTGTACCACAAGGAGCTGTTCTTTCACCTCTTCTATTCTCTTTTTTTCTGCATGACCTGCCATCTTCCACAGAAAACACTTTTGTGAAGTACGCGGATGATCTCACTGTATGTATGCCTATATCTTCCTCTTTACATCCCATAGAAATGAATGAGTTTTTGTCTCGTATTGATTGTTGGTCTGTTGGTAATGGTCTCATACTTAATCCATCTAAATGTCAAGCTGTTAACTTTAGTATGAGACATGAACGGAATATAAACACTATTTTGAGATCCCATAGTGCTTGTACCATCGGAGACTCCTTGATAAACTCAGTGTCGAAGGTCAATTATCTTGGTGTCACCTTTTCCTCTGATCTGTCTTGGTCTTCCCACGTTTTATCGTTATCGAAGAAGGTTTTCCGTCTGACCTACTACATAAAGAGATTGCATGCTCTTGGAATTACTCGTCATTTACTCTTACAATTTGTCAATTCTTGCATATTACCTATTATTCTTTACTGTTCTCCATTATTCTTTCCCGGGCTTTTGAGAAAAGACTTTGCTGTATTGCAGAGAGTGCTGAAGGCAGTTAGCAAGGTGTGTGGTGAATCTTTCGAGGTCATAATTAATATGGTTGTGGATAGACATTTAAAATCATGCAAACTCCTGGCAGGTGTTATTTTATCAGATACTAGCCATCCCCTTCACTCTTATCTTTCTCCTTGTATATCTTCTGGTAGAACGAGACGTAATTACATTAAAATCCATGCACGCAAGCAAAAGTATAAAAGTTCTATAATACCTTACCTAGCAAATATACTCTGTGACGAACAGGTTGTTAGAGTTAACCTAGTCAAT